GACAGAGGAGTCCTGTAACTTTATTCATGAACAAAGGGAGAGACCATGGGGCATTTCCCATGGGGCCTCTCAAATTGTTGGGGGATGCAGCCTCCTTTTTATCCTAATTTTCATAGTCACATCACCCTCTCCATTTCTCCACTGGCTGAGGTACTTGGAAACTACGAACTTCCTGAATGTATGTGCCCCTCTAATATGCATCATGCCTTTGTTTAACGTAGGACATTCACAGTTCTATTGTCTTTGTTCTTCTTCTCCAAGTTCAGGAATTTAGCAGGACCTTGGCTGAGCAGCAGTCCTTGTGAATTAGTAACACTTTCTAAAACTGATAGTTTCTCCAGTTACTTTCTTATCTACAAGTCCCTGGCCCTATCTACAAGCAGATTCACAGTCTGTCTGTAAAGACACATTCATCTTATTCCTTTCACCAGGCACGGTCAGGCTGGCACTGCCTGTCTGTGGTTGGGTCTTTTGTCACTCTGGTGCCAGTCCCTGCCCAAGCTGAACCCAGTGAGCTTTGTCCAGTATTTTCCAGCCTTTTCTAGCCTTCCTGCAAATCCAAGGCAGATTGGGATTTTGTTGCTGCAGTTTTCCTTGTTTCTGTAGCACCAGTCCTTGCTCCAGCTGAGCAGTGACACTTTTCCAGCCCAGCCTGGAGGTGGGAAAGGAGTGGGTTGTGATGGTGTGGTGGTGAGGGTGGGGGTGATGGTGAGGGTGGGGATGATGGGATGGTGTGGTTTGGTGAGTTGGTGAGGGTGGTGGGGATGGAGATGGCAGAGCTGTGCAGAACGGTGTGGAGAGAGCGGATGGGGATGGGAATGGGAATGGGAATGGGGATGGGAATGGTGGTGCCGTGGGCGTGGGCATGGGCATGGGCATGGGAATGGGGATGGGAATGGTGGTGCCGTGGGCGTGGGCATGGGCATGGGCATGGGAATGGGGATGGGAATGGTGGTGCCGTGGGCGTGGGCATGGGCATGGGCATGGGAATGGGGATGGGAATGGTGGTGCCGTGGGCGTGGGCATGGGCATGGGCATGGGAATGGGGATGGTGGTGCTGTGGGGATGGGCATGGGGATGGGATGGAAATGGGAATGGGGATGGTGGTGCTGTGGGCATGGGGATGGGAATGAGGATGGTGGTGCTGTGGGGATGGAGATGGGCATGGGGACGGAAATGGGAATGGGGATGGTGGTGCCGTGGGCAGGGGCATGGGCATGGGCAGGGCGGTGCGGATGGGGATGTCTGCACGGTGAGCTGCAGGCAGCGATGGGGGTGCTCGTACGCTGCCGTGCAGAGCCGCGCCGCGCGGAGCGGAGCGGCACCACCCCGTCCCGCCTCCCGGTGCCGCCGTGACCCCGCCGCCGATCACTTCCAGGGCGGCCCCGGCTCCCGATTTGAAAATGCGGGAGCGGCTGCTGGTGCTGCTGTGCGCGCTGGCGCGGCGGCGGCGGCGGCGCGCCGGGGCCATGGCCGGGAACGGCAGCGGCGGCACCGGCGGNNNNGGCAGCGGGAGCGGCGGCGGCGGCGGGGGCTGGGACGGGCCGCAGCGGCGCGCCTGGCTCCGGCACTACTACAGCCAGCGGCAGAAGCGGCTCATGACGGTGACCGGGGCGGGGCCGCGGGGCACTGGACGGGACGCGGGGAGAACCGCACGCGGGGACGGGGCCGTGGGGGACCGAGCGTGCGGGGCTGCGCGTGGAGATCGTGGGGACACAAAGGATGGGAGGGTGACTGGAATCACGGGGACACAAAGGGTGGGGGATACGGGAGACGAGCGGAGGTCACGGCGACATGGGGGATGGGGGGATGCGGGACACAGGATGGGGGACGGAAAACACGGAACACATGGACATGGGGGATTTGGGGCACGGGGTGCACAGGCCACAGGAGCAGAAAAAATTGACAGGGGCTGCAGGATGCAAAGGACAGTGGTGGGAAGGATGGGGAGTACGGGAAAGTCACAAGGGGGACATAAAGGGTGGGGGACATGTGAGGCCCAAAAGACAGGATGTGGAACAGAAAGGACACATGGACGCAGAGATCACAAAGGATGAGGACCGTGGGGGTTCTGTGGGACACAAAGACAGGGACACAAAGAATGGGACTTGAAAGACATGGGATGTGATTCTGGACACAAAGGATGGTGGATGCAGCGGACATGGGGGTGACATCAAAAGTGGGGGATACAAGGGATCCCTGGCTGCAAGGACAAGCTGTGGGGGAACATGAGGAGCCTGCTGGCCTGGACAGCGGCTGAAGGTGACTAAAGCCTCTTTTTAGCTTAAAAGAGGCTTTGTAGAATTTAATAACAGAAAAACAATTCCTGTGGAGAGGCCAGGAGCTTCCCCTTCCAAATCATGATTCCCACCTTTGAGGGATGTTCTCTCCCCCTTCTAAATCAGGACTTAGCCCACAGTTCCCTCGGCAGCTGGAAATCCAGCAATGCTCATTAAAATACAAAACCCCAGAGAGAATGGCCACCCCAAAAAAGGCCTTTTCCAGAAAACTCCATATGCAACACCTGAGCATCTTGTCTGGAGTCACACCTACTGCCTGGTGGGTTTGCAGGGAGTGTTCCCAGGTACAGGAAGATTTGACTGGTGTTAAACCAGTCGGGACCACTGGCCACCTGGCACTGGCCATCCTGCCTTGAGCAAGTCTCTTGAGCTGGGTGGTCTTCAGAAGGGGGTCCCAGTGAAGTGCAGGGAAGCGCTGTCTCACACCGCTGTTGTCTCCCCCCTGCGCTGCAGCTCCTCATCGCTCACCGGAGGAGAACCAGCTGCTGCTTCTACCCCCGCGCCTGGCCCAGCCTCAGGAGCACGGACTGGTGGGAACAGGTGGTCCTGAAGGAGTTTGGGCCCCAGGACTGGCTGGAGAAGTTTCGGATGTCCAAGGAGACCTTCTTCTACATCTGCAACCAGCTGCGGCCTGGGCTGGCTCCGCACAGCGCCCACTTCCACCCCACCCTGCCACTGGAGAAGAGGGTGGCTGTGGCCCTGTGGCACTTGGCCACCAACGTGGAGTACCAGACTCTGAGCCCGCTCTTTGGCGTGGGGCCCTCCACGGTGCAGAGCTGTGTCCGGGAGGTGAGCTATGCCGTCGTCTTGCTGCTGAAGCCGCTTTACCTCCGGCTGCCTGACGAGAAGGAGCTGGAGAACATGGCGCGCATCTTCTGCACGCGCTGGGGCTTCCCGCACTGCATCGGGGCGCTGGACAGCCTGCACATCCCCATCCACCCGCCCCTGCGCCTCACCGCCGACTACTGCAACGGCCAGGGCTGGCACTCCATCCTCACGCAGGCCACCGTGGATGGGCTGGGGCAGTTCTGGGACGTCTCCACCGCCTTTCCAGGCAGCATGGAGAACAGCGCGGTCCTGGAGAGCTCCAGCCTGTGGGTGCTGGCCAAGGAGGGCCGGCTGTGCCCCAACCCTCCCAAGCATTTCATGGGGAAGGCACAGAAGTACGTGCTGCTGGGCGATGCCACGTACCCCCTGCAAGACTGGATCCTCAAGCCCTACCAGGAGGACGAGAACCTGACCCAGCGCCAGCTGCAGTTCAACTACCGCCTGAAGCGGGCCCACAGCGTGATCGAGAACGCCTTCCTGCGCCTCAAGGCGCGCTGGCAGATCCTCCTCAAGTGTGACGATTGCAGCCTGGAGCTGCTGCCCACCCTCGTCCTCGCCTGCTGCATCCTGCACAACGTCTGCGAGGCCCACGACAACCCCTTCAACGAGGAGTGGCTGGAGGGCACCGAGCCCACCGAGCTGCCCAAGCCCTGCCAGCCCGCGCCGGCCGCCATGGAGGACAACCGGGCTGAGCAGGTGCGGGAGCTGATGTGCCAGTACTTCGAGAGCTGCGGGGAGGGCTGATGGGCCCGGGGAGCAGCTGCCCTGCACATCCCTGCTTGCAGACTCACCGTGGACTCTGGCAAACCGGCCCCGGTGCTGCCAGCTGTACCAGAGGGCCCAGGGTGGGGAGGGGCGGCCGTGTCACACTCGTCCTGGGTTTGCTGTCGAAGTTTCAGGCAGTGGAATGTATTTTGTTCTCATTCTCTCTCCCAGGATCTGAACTGTTTGGTGGTGTGTTGTGTGCTGCTGGAGTACAGTGGGGATTAGGGCTGGGAGGGGGCGGCTGCTGGGATCTCTCTGTCCTCTGTCTCAAAGCCTCTCCATTAGACCAAAATCAACAGGAGCCTTGAAATAAGGCAAAACTCCTTTGGAGGTTTGAAACTTCCTGCGTAAACATACATGGGAAGGAAGAGGCGGAGCAGTGACTTGCAAGGGCTGACACCAGCCTGGAATTAAACTGCACCCACAAACTCAGGGATGTGCTACCCTGAGGTTTGTCCAGCTGCGTAAACACACATGGGAAAGAGAGGGAAGGAAGAGGCAGAGCAGTGGCTTGCAAGGGCTGACACCAGCCTGGAATTAAACTGCACCCACAAACTCAGGGATGTGCTGCCCTGAGGTTTGTCCAGCCTAGCACCCCCCAGCCCCTCTCCAGAGGGGTTTTGCTCAGCCTAGCACACCTGGCCTCTCTCCAGACAGGTTCACCCAGCCTGGAACATCCTGACCCCCCTCTGGAGGGGTTCGTCCAGCCTGGAACACCCCTGATTCTTCTCCAGTGGGATTTTGCCCAGCCTGGCATCCCTGACCCCTCTCCTGAGGGATTTTGTCCAGTCTCGCACCCCAGGTCCCCCTCAGGGTGATGTTTGCCTCAGGGCTCTGGCACTGCCTGAACCCTCTCTGGTGGGATTTCTCCCAGCCTGGAACACCCCCAGCCCCTCTCAGGGTGGTGTTTGCCCAGGCTGTCAGCCCAGCCCCTCTCCGGAGGAGTGTGTGGCTCAGTTCCCGAGTCCCCGCGGCCCCGCCCGGCTCTGCGGCCGCTGCCCGGGCCCGGCCATGCTGGACAGCGCCCCCTGGCGGCCGCCGCGCCCTCAGGCGGAGGGGAGGCAGCGCCCCCTCGTGGGCGCCTGCCGTGCGTATGGCGCAGGCGCAGCCGGCGGGCGGTCACGTGGCGGAGCAGCAAGATGGCGGCGCGCGGTGAGTGCAGCGCCGGCACTGCCGGGCCCCCCCTCAGCCCCCCGGGATCCCCCTCAGCCCCCCGGGATCCCCCCGGGCCCGCGGCTCCTCTCGGGCCCCGCTGACTCGGGGGCTCCGCGCAGCGCGGCCGCGACAGGCGGTCTGTGTCCGTCCCGGGTATCCGGTGAAACCGAGTGTCCGAGCACACGCGCGTGGGGTCAGCCCCGGCCCCAGCTCCGGTTCTCCGCCGCAGGCCGGGCCGCGGCTCCGCCCGCCCGCCCTGCCCCCGGCCACGGGACCCGCTGGCGGCTGCGGGCGCGCCTTGACTCCCTTCCCCGGACGCAGGAGTGTGACCGAGGAGCCCCCAGAGCCCGCAGCGTGCCCGGCCCCGTGCGCGCCATGGTGACGGAGCAGGAGGTGGAGGCCATCGGCCGCACGCTGGTGGACGCGGCGCAGCCGCTGCCCGCCCGGTTCCGGGCCCTCTTCACCCTGCGGAACCTGGGCGGCCGCGCGGCCGTGGAGTGGATCAGCCGCGCCTTCGGGGACGGCTCGGCGCTGCTGAAGCACGAGCTGGCCTATTGCCTGGGCCAGATGCAGGACGAGGCGGCCATCCCCGTGCTCATCCGCGTGCTGGAGGACACGGCCCAGGAGCCCATGGTCCGGCACGAGGCAGGTACGGCAGCAGCTCCTGCGGCTCCGGGGGCAGGGGAGGGCCCTGCCTGGCCAGTGGGGCTGGGGGTGCTTCCCCCACTGTACAGAGCAGCTCGTGGGGGCCTGGTCCGGCTTGGATGTCAAACCCTGAGTCACGTAACATCTCACCACCTTCCCTGGCCACACCTGACTGTTCCTGCTGGACAGGCTTCTCCCGTCGTGTTTGTCCTGTTTGGAATTGGTCAGTCCCGCCTGTGTCCACGTTGGCCCCATTTGGGATTGGTCAGTTAGGCCTGTGCCTGTGCTTTAGAGCAAGGCAAGGCATTGCCAGAGCACACAGCAGGGTTCTCCTCACACAGACACCCTGATAACATCCTGATGCCTCCTTCAGGTGAAGCCCTGGGTGCTATTGGGAACCCTGACGTGCTGGATATCCTGAAGCGCTATTCCCAGGATCCTGTGGTCGAGGTGAGCTTCCCGAGGGGTCATTTCCTCTGGGATGCAGCACTGCTGGTCTCGGAGGCGGCTCCGTGCTGGCCAGGTGGGTGGGGACATGGCAGTGACATCCTGCTGTGTGCTGGGCTTCTCCTGGCGCTGTCCAGTGCTGTTCTGCAGCCGGGGCCGTGTCCCTGTCCCCACAGGTGGCAGAGACGTGTCAGCTGGCCGTGAGGAGGCTGGAGTGGCTGCAGAGCAACAAGGAGAGGCCAGGCAGCAGCCCGTACCTGTCCGTGGATCCTGCTCCCCCCGCTGAGGAGACGGATGTGGCCAAGCTCCGGGAGATCCTCCTGGATGAGTCCCAGGAGCTGTTTGAGCGCTACCGGGCCATGTTTGCTCTGCGCAATTGCCTGAACCCTCTCTGGTGGGATTTCTCCCAGCCTGGAACACCCCCAGCCCCTCTCAGGGTGGTGTTTGCCCAGGCTGTCAGCCCAGCCCCTCTCGGAGGGGTCAGTGGCTCAGTCCCCGCGGCCCCGCCCGGCTCTGCGGCCGCTGCCCGGGCCCGGCCATGCTGGACAGCGCCCCCTGGCGGCCGCCGCGCCCTCAGGCGGAGGGGAGGCAGCGCCCCCTCGTGGGCGCCTGCTGTGCGTATGGCGCAGGCGCAGCCGGCGGGCGGTCACGTGGCGGAGCAGCAAGATGGCGGCGCGCGGTGAGTGCAGCGCCGGCACTGCCGGGCCCCCCCTCAGCCCCCCGGGATCCCCCTCAGCCCCCCGGGATCCCCCCGGGCCCGCGGCTCCTCTTGGGCCCCGCTGACTCGGGGGCTCCGCGCAGCGCGGCCGCGACAGGCTGTCTGTGTCCGTCCCGGGTATCCGGTGAAACCGAGTGTCCGAGCACACGCGCGTGGGGTCAGCCCCGGCCCCGCTGACTCGGGGGCTCCGCGCAGCGCGGTAGCGGCAGGCGGTCTGTGTCCGCCCGGGTATCCGGTGAAACCGAGTGTCCGAGCACACGCGCGTGGGGTCAGCCCCGGCCCCAGCTCCGGTTCTCCGCCGCAGGCCGGGCCGCGGCTCCGCCCGCCCGCCCTGCCCCCGGCCACGGGACCCGCTGGCGGCTGCGGGCGCGCCTTGACTCCCTTCCCCGGACGCAGGAGTGTGACCGAGGAGCCCCCAGAGCCCGCAGCGTGCCCGGCCCCGTGCGCGCCATGGTGACGGAGCAGGAGGTGGAGGCCATCGGCCGCACGCTGGTGGACGCGGCGCAGCCGCTGCCCGCCCGGTTCCGGGCCCTCTTCACCCTGCGGAACCTGGGCGGCCGCGCGGCCGTGGAGTGGATCAGCCGCGCCTTCGGGGACGGCTCGGCGCTGCTGAAGCACGAGCTGGCCTATTGCCTGGGCCAGATGCAGGACGAGGCGGCCATCCCCGTGCTCATCCGCGTGCTGGAGGACACGGCCCAGGAGCCCATGGTCCGGCACGAGGCAGGTACGGCAGCAGCTCCTGCGGCTCCGGGGGCAGGGGAGGGCCCTGCCTGGCCAGTGGGGCTGGGGGTGCTTCCCCCACTGTACAGAGCAGCTCGTGGGGGCCTGGTCCGGCTTGGATGTCAAACCCTGAGTCACGTAACATCTCACCACCTTCCCTGGCCACACCTGACTGGACAGGTTGGCTCTGCTGTTCCTGCTGGACAGGCTTCTCCCGTCGTGTTTGTCCTGTTTGGAATTGGTCAGTCCCGCCTGTGTCCACGTTGGCCCCATTTGGGATTGGTCAGTTAGGCCTGTGCCTGTGCTTTAGAGCAAGGCAAGGCATTGCCAGAGCACACAGCAGGGTTCTCCTCACACAGACACCCTGATAACATCCTGATGCCTCCTTCAGGTGAAGCCCTGGGTGCTATTGGGAACCCTGACGTGCTGGATATCCTGAAGCGCTATTCCCAGGATCCTGTGGTCGAGGTGAGCTTCCCGAGGGGTCATTTCCTCTGGGATGCAGCACTGCTGGTCTCGGAGGCGGCTCCGTGCTGGCCAGGTGGGTGGGGACATGGCAGTGACATCCTGCTGTGTGCTGGGCTTCTCCTGGCGCTGTCCAGTGCTGTTCTGCAGCCGGGGCCGTGTCCCTGTCCCCACAGGTGGCAGAGACGTGTCAGCTGGCCGTGAGGAGGCTGGAGTGGCTGCAGAGCAACAAGGAGAGGCCAGGCAGCAGCCCGTACCTGTCCGTGGATCCTGCTCCCCCCGCTGAGGAGACGGATGTGGCCAAGCTCCGGGAGATCCTCCTGGATGAGTCCCAGGAGCTGTTTGAGCGCTACCGGGCCATGTTTGCTCTGCGCAATGTGGGGGGCCAGGCTGCTGTGCTGGCTCTGGCAGAAGGTGAGGGCCTGTCCTTGCTGTGGCTCTGTCCAGGCTAATCTGGGACGAGCCCTTCCCAAATCTAGGACTGCCAGAGCTGCTCTCACGTGTTTGTGTCTAGGGCTGCTGTTCCCTGCTACATTACAGAGTGCCGGGTGGTCTCTGCTGTTCCAGAGTCCCCTTGCCACCCTCCAGACCCCCTTCCCTGAGGGAGGGAGGGCACGGCTGTGATGGTGGTCTGGAACCAGCTGGTCTGACCCATCGTCAGACCTGGCCTGGGGTTTTTGGGGTCATGCTCTCCTGGCCTGGAAGGTCAAGGGCTGCTGGTGTTTGGGAATAGTTCTGGAGAGGGGAATGTCCCTGAGTGGGAAAGGGGCAGACCACAGCCCAGGAACTGTTTGGACCCACCCCAGCCCGAGGGAAGTGGGTCAGGCTCTCCAGCCATCTGGGACTGTTGAGGTCCCTGAGGTGGCATCTGTCAGCTCCTGCTCCAGCTGCTTGGTCCTGGAGCACTGGAATCCCTGGTCATGCTGCCATCCCCTGGAACATCATGTGGTGGGGCAGGACCTGGGCAGGCAGGGAGCAGCAGCTCTGCTGGGGGGTGGGTGCTGCCATCAGAGGAGGCTCTGGGACTGGGCTGGGATCAGGGAGCAGGGTGGGATCAGGGAGCAGGGTGGGATCAGGGAGCAGGGTGGGATCGGGGAGCAGGGTGGGATCGGGGAGCAGGGTGGGATCGGGGAGCAGGGTGGAATCGGGGAGCAGGATGGGATACCCCTTCCTGTACATGGGGCTGGGGCGGTGACCCTTGGCATCCCCAGCTTTCAGGTGGGGGCTCCATCCAGGCATCCTGGTGGATTTGGGGCGTCCCGGCTCACTGTGCCCTCCCCGCAGGGCTGCGCTGCGGCAGCGCGCTGTTCCGCCACGAGATCGGCTACGTGCTGGGGGGGAGCAGGGTGGGAGCAGGGTGGGATCAGGGAGCAGGGTGGGATCGGGGAGCAGGGTGGGATCGGGGAGCAGGGTGGAATCGGGGAGCAGGATGGGATACCCCTTCCTGTACATGGGGCTGGGGCGGTGACCCTTGGCATCCCCAGCTTTCAGGTGGGGGCTCCATCCAGGCATCCTGGTGGATTTGGGGCGTCCCGGCTCACTGTGCCCTCCCCGCAGGGCTGCGCTGCGGCAGCGCGCTGTTCCGCCACGAGATCGGCTACGTGCTGGGGCAGCTGCAGGACGAGGCGTGCGTCCCTCAGCTGACGGCCACGCTGCGCAGCCGCGCCGAGAGCCCCATGGTGCGGCACGAGTGCGCCGAGGCGCTGGGCTCCATCGCCCGGCCCTCGTGCCTGCGGGCCCTGCGCGCCTTCGCCGGCGACGAGGAGCGCGTGGTGCGCGAGAGCTGCCAGGTGGCCCTGGACATGTACGAGTACGAGAACGGCGCCCAGTTCCAGTACGCCGACGGGCTCTGCAAGCTGCGGGCCTCCTGAGCCCAGACTGGGGGCACTGAGCGGGGTGTGCCGCCTCCCACCCCCTCCTGCCCATGGTGGATCCGTGCCTTGCCACGCAGAGCCAGAGGAGGGACTGGGTTTGCTCTCTGGCACAATTACAGCCACCTTTTCCCTCCAAATCCAGGCTGAGCTGCTACTTGCCTCCCCAGCACTCCTCGCCAGCTACTGTTTCCTGGATCTGCCCCTTTTCCCTGCCAGGATCAGCGCTGCCTGCCCGCAGCATGGCTTGGGGCTTGGACCAGGTGGGCTCTGCTTGGCACGTCAGAGCCTGCTGCAGCTCTGCAGGGCTCAGGCCTGCCCTGGGTTGGCGCTGCCCCGTCGGCAGCTCCATTCTCCACAGCTAAGCTTTGCTGGGGGCTAGGATGGGCTTTGGGCACCCACTCTGTGGGCTGTGGTGTTAGGATGCTTCAAAATTGCTCTCGGTGATGGTGCCGAGCGGGGCCCTCCTCGCCCGCGCAGTGGGTTTGGCTTCTCCTGTTGGGACAAGCTGGAGCTGAGCCTGTGGCAGCCTCTGCCCTAGGGTGGGGGTTATTTCATGGCAACGTTGGGAAGATATGGCTGGGGTTTCTTCTGCAGGGAAGGGCGCTGCCATTAGGGTGGGCAGGGTGAGGCAGAGCCTGCCTGAGCTTTCCTCTGTGTTTAACCAAGGCCAGGAGGGCTGAGGCTGCTGCTGGCACCCAAATCCCTCAGTCAGCCCAGCCTGGGCAATGGGGTTTGGGGTTTGGCAGGGAATAAAGCACTGGCACAGGAAGCTGGAGTGAGTTGAGCTGTGATTTACCTGTGCCCAGGTGTGGAGTGCACCCAGTGGGGTCAAGCCCTGGGCACAAGGCTGGGGGCTGCCAAAATTAAGTCATAGAACCATTGAGATGGGAAAGAACCTTTAAAATCGAGTCCAGCCACATTGGGAAGAGCAGGGAGTGGGGTCCCTGATGGCATGAGGTGAAACCCCCAGCCCTGGGGAGGAGGATGATCTGTCTGGGGTGCCCTGGTAGGTCCCACTGCCCTGCAGGGCCTGGCATCCTGCTGGGCATACCTTTTCCCCTTGTCCAAGGGCTCCCTGTGAGTCACTCGCAGGCTCAATCCTCTTAGTCCCTGAAGCCAGCTCAGCATCCTTAGAGCTCTGGTGCTCAGGGTCACAGCCAAGGGGCAGCCCTGGCCATGGCCCAGTCTGACCCAGTTCAGGACCCGATGGAAAGGTCTCTTAGTCAAGATGTGACCAGTTTTGGTCACCTGTACACACTAAGTCAGTGACATGTGGGTAGGGTGACGTGTATGTGATGGGGAGGGTGAGGGGCTCCAGGCTGCACTTCCCCAGCACCGGGGACAAACAACATCTCATGTTTTCACACTGTTTGGAGTCAGCTGCTGTTATGGGTTGCTTGTGCCCCTTCCCTCACCCTCCATAGCCCCTGGGTGATGGGCAGGACCTAGCTGGCACTTTGGGCTCTGGGGTGTCCCTGTGTCATATCCATCCCCAGGACAGTGAGATGGGTGACTTCCCCCAGGCCACGTTGTCATTTCCACTGTTCCCTTGGCACGTGAGCTCCAGCACCCTGCAGTTGCCAGGCTGTTTGTCCCCACTTATCACCTTGGCTGCCCCCACCTTTGCTCTCCAGCTTTTCCATGCGTGACTTGCTCAGACCTTGCAGGGTTCTTTCCCAATCATTATGTGCCAACATTTGTCTCTGCACCCCCAACGCCTTTTAAGACAAAATTGGAATAAAATGCATTTCTGAGGCTGGGATCTGGGCAGGGGTGACCTGGTGCAGCAGAGCTGGGAGGTGCTGGAGTAGAGCAGGGCGCAGCCTTGAGCTTTGACTTGGCACTGAACTCCACCAGCACCTTCAACCTGTGCTGGGAAGGGTTTGGGATTTCTTCAAAGCTGCTGCTGGTCTGGGCTAAAACCTGCACCCTCTTGGTGGGGGGGAAAATTGCTTTTGGGAGAAGCATGGACTCGGCCCCCCCACTGCAGGCTGCTCTGCCTTGGGGAGGTGACACTGGGTGCTGGGGTGACACGAGGCCACGTGGCAGCCATCTGGGAAGGTGACAGCCTCTTGTCGTGGGCTGCTTCCCTGTACAGCAGAGGGGGCCCGTGGGAGCCCCGTGGCTGAGGCTGCACCCCCATCCCCTCTGCCCATCACCTCCAGCTCCTGTGTCCTCTGTGATCTCAGCCATCTGCTGCAGGGATCCGGGGCCTGCTGAGGGATTTAACCCAGCCCAGGGGAGGGAGAAAGACCTTGGGCATCCCTCCCCATTCCTGTCTTTGGGAGTTCTCCAGCTGCTCCAGTGACTCCCCCTTCCCAGGGGGGCAGGGGTACCAGTGGTGCTCCCACAGGGGCAGGATTTGGGGACCCTGACCCACATTGGAGCCTGCTGGTCACCTCCCATGCTGAGGCAGCCAGGCTGTGCCTGGATTAGCAGGTGCTAAGCTCCTCAGCAACACAGCTCTGTCGCTGGGTGAGTGGCACTGCCACCAGCTATAGGGACACTGCTGTCCCTGTGAGCTGCCAGCACCGAGGAGCTTTGTGGACCCTGATGCCACTTCCCCCCTGCAGTCCCCTGCGTGGCAGAGGCTTCAGTGGCTTAGGGTGGAGTGCAGGGATAGCTGGCCATGGCCCTGGCAGGGGGTATCCCCCTCCCTGGCACCGGAGGGGCACAGGGGCCACGGCACTTGCTGCAGTCCCCCCCTGAGGAGGACGGGGTGCTCTACGTGGACTACAAGCCCCCTGCCCTGGACAGCATCCACCTGCCCCGCTATGTCCTGTACCTGATGATGGCAGCAACACTGGTGCTGGTGGTGGCATATGCCATCGTGGGGCACCTCATCAAGGACCTGGTGCACGACTTCGCCGGTGAGTGTTACCCACGGCGGGGTCGGGCTTTGGGGTGGGCAGGGGGCCAGGGGGATCCCCCACCTGAGACTGTGCTGTGGGAGGGCTGGTGCTGCTGACAGCTCCATCTCTGCCCCTGCAGACTGGGCATTTGGGCCCAAGCCGGAGGAGAAGGCAGGGATGGCCGAAGGCCCGGTGCTGGAGGCAGAGTGGCTGGAGGACGACGAGGTGCTGGTGGAGCAGAAGGTGGAGGATGAAGGCAGCGGCCTCCTGCCCGGCACGGACATCCCGCTGCAGCTGCTCGCTCCACGCAGCTCCGTCTCCTTTGCCAACTCCCCCGAGAAGAGGTTCTTCTAGGGTCAGGGGACACCCCTGCCACCAGCAGCACCCTGCAGCCCTGCCTGACCATTGTGTCACGGCGTGGCCCTGGCCAAAGGCACTGCCCAGCCCTGGCACAGAGCCTCCCCCTCCCTGCCCAGCCCTGGCGCTGCTCTCAGGGCTTCTCTTGGGCTATCACACCAATAAAGCCACTTGCCCCAGCCCTGCTCACCCCTTGGCCCAGCACAGCGTGGGGGGTGGCAGGGCTGGGGCATCCCAACCTTTGCCCTTGGCACAGCCATGCCACCCCTGGCCATGGGAACATGGGTGTATAAAGGGGGTGCTTGGGGGTGCAAACCCAGGGTGGGGGCACAGCCGATGGTGGCAGGGGGCATGGACACGGGTGCACACATGCACATGGAAACATGGACACCCCTCTGGATGGGCCACGTCAGCGTGGGCACATGGGTAGGGACAGATGGATGGACAGCTGGATGCTGAGGCTGGCTGTGTGCCCTCACCACCCCCTCAGTGCCTTGGCACTGCCAGACCATGCTCGGTGGCACCCAGAGGTGGCCCCAAACCAGTCTTGGGGGACAAAGCACCCTGAAGCCTCACTTGGGTTCTGGATGAGGGCACTGGGCATGGGGGCTGTTTGATGGACCTGCAGCCCCTGTCTTAAACCCAGGTTGAAGCTGGATCACTGTGCCCCCAGTCTTCTCAACCCCTTGAGGAATTGCCACAGGCAGGGTGGCCCTGCCAAAGTCCACTGTCCTTCCCTGGGGTGATGGTGGCCACTCTCTGCCTCAGCTTTCTTTGTGCCCTGGTGGATGGGCACCCTGCCGTGGTCTCCCTGAGCTAACCCTGTCAGTATTTCACTCTTGACAGTATGCAGGCACACACTCCCTGGGGACATGGTGGGATCCCACCCGAGATTGTCTGGGGGCAGCTGGCTCGTGCCCAGGGGAGGGCTGGGGGTGGCCTGCCATTGCCCACCCCTCTGTGCTGCCCCATCCCCATGGGATGTGCCCCACCCCTGCCAGCTGGGATAGGGGGAGCCAGGCAGGGTGGGCGCTTCTCCACCCCATCACCCGTCTGTTCTTCCACATGTGCACCCACCCACCTGCCTGTCTGTCTGTCTGTCTCTGCCTCCATCCACCTGCCCACCCTGGGGGTGGTCCCCAGTCCTGGGCACGGGGATATGCCTGTCCTTTGCCACTGTGCTCCCGGAGGTGGTGGCCGCTGGGTGCGGTGGGGTGCCGGTGCCTGAGCCAGGGGAGTGGTACCACCTGCCAGGGGTGACAGCAGTCACGTTGCCATGGTGCTTGGTGCCACTTTGTCCTCTCGGGGCCAATAAAGGCGCCCGTTGCCTTGGGTGCAGAGTGCAGGCACGATAGCAGCAGGTGACAAAAGCTCACCGCCAGGAGCAGGAGCCAGACGCGCCTCCGCCCAAAAATGCCGAAGCTCTTGCAGCCCCTCTCGCTCCTGCTCGTCCTCGCTTCCACCGCCCAGGGACAGACTGGTAGGTGCCCCCATGCCCCTCTGTGCCCTGGGATGTCTGGGGAGGTGGCCAGGCCTCCCCTCAGGCATCAGATCCACTCCTGGGAGACCTTTCCAGTGGGACCAGTCTGTCCCAGTCCTCCAACAGTAACTTTTGGGGGTAGAGCAGAAAGATCTGGAGACACCCACCTGCTGCCCCAGTGCTCCCCACTGCACCAGGGACAGGTGAGCTGTATCGGGAGTGGCTTCCTTGGGACATTGGGAAGGGGGAACAGTGAGTGTCTGCCAATGTCCCATCCCGTGGGGGGGTCCCATGTCCTGGGTGGGGGGGGTCCCATCCCCTGATGGATGGAGCTCCCCTGAAGCTGTCCCCATCCCTGTCTTTTCCCTTGCCTGTCCCCTGGCCATGCAGTCACGGGCCCCAAGGTGCTGCAGCCATGGCTCATTGGCCTCACGGCCGTCGTCGTCTTCCTCTTTGCTGTCTTCGTCGTGCTGCTCGTTAACCGGCTCTGGAGTCTCAGGAAGAAGAGGTTGGATTGGTGTGGGGGGCGGGGGGCGCTGGCCAGGGGAAAGCTGCGTGGGAGGTTGCCATGGGCTGGGGCAGGGCTGTCCCCGGGCACCGTTCAGCCTCTCTCCCCTCGCAGGAAGGAGAAGGACACCCCGGAGACCCTGGAGACTGACAGGTACCACAGCCGGGTGTGCGGGGCAGCACCGGGACCCCCCCACATCGGGGCTCGGATGCCTCGAGGGTGGCCACGTTCCGGCTGCGCCCTCGGCATGGTTGGAGACGGCCGTGCCGCGGTGCCGGTGCCGTGCCCGGCTGACCGACGATCCGTCCCTCCCGCAGGCTGGAGCGCTCCGGCCACGTCAACCAGGCAGCTGAGGACTGGGATGAGCTGAAGGACGACAAGCAGCAGAGCAAGGCCGCGGCCACGTCCCTCTGAGTGCCCCCCGCCGCTCTCTGCCCGGCCCGGAGCGCCTCTGAGGGGCGCCGCACCCTCACCCCGTCCGGGGGCGCGGATCCGCGCCGGGTTTCGGCGGCAGCCGCGGCCACCGTGGCACCTCCCGCCCGCGGCCGGCCCGGCTGTGACCAAGACCCGGCGCGGATCGCCCGCTGGCCGGAGCCGAGCCGGGAGGGCGGCGGCCGCGGGGCCCCCCCGTGCCCCCGACCCTGGGCCGGCGGGGTCCCGCCCGGGGGGACAACGGCAGCCCCCTCCCCAGACGTGCCAACTAAAGGTTTCCCCAGCCTACCCCGGCGTCCAGCGTGTCGTGTCACCGTGCGGGGAGGGGCCGTCCGGCACCCCGGGTGCCACTCGGGCAGGGGACAATGGCAGGTTCCAAACTGCCAGACCCCGGCGACCTCGGCAGGGCGGGAGGGGCTGTCCGGCCACATCGCTGCCGGAGCAGCCCGGACCGAGGGGTGGGCAGCGAGGGGACACGGGGGGTGGGGGGGCTCGCCCCGAGGCCGTCCCGAGCAGCGCTTGGGGACAGGGACCGCGGGCAGCGCGGGGCTGAAGCGCCGCTTCGGCCAGCGCCGACCTACGGGTGACGACAGTGGCGTCACTCCGCCGGGCGGTGACGTCACGTGCACGAGGTGGTGACGTCCCGTGGCCGAGCTCTGAAGCAGGGAAGTGGCAGCAGCTCCGAACTCCCGTGTGAAGCACGGCTGCCCCCCCATGTCCCGTCCTGCCCTCACATGTCCCGTCCTGTGCCCCATGTCCCGTCCTGTGGCCCCCATGTCCCGTCCTGTCCCCCATGTCCCGTCCTGTGCCCCTTGTCCCGTCCTGTCCCCCTTGTCTGTCCCGGCCGTGCCGCCTGCGCCCCGCGGGCTCCCGGCTCCGTCCCCGGCTCTGCCGGGCCACGGGCGGCCACGGCTGCGGGTCCCCCCGCGGGGTGCTGGCTGTCCCCGCCGGCAGGGCTCTGCTCTCCCCAGGGCCCCCGGGCCCTCCGCCTCACCCGTGTTCTCCCCCCTCGGGCACCGTGCCTCAGTTCCCCCGGGGCAGCGAAGGAAGGGCGGAGGCGAGCTGGAGTTGAAGCATAGCTTGTTTAATTTTTATACATTTTTTTTTTGTCCTTTTTTTTTTGTTTTCATTTTTTAATCTTTTTTTTGTGTGTCAGTTTTTTCTTTTTTGTTTTTTTCTTCTTTTTTGTCTCTTTTTTCTCTTTTTTGCATAGGGGAGGGGGGGGAACAACAACAACAACAGAAAAAAAAACAACGGGAAGAAAAAAAAAACCCAAATAAACAAAACAAAAAAGAAAACAAAACAAAAAAAAAAACCACCCCCAAAATCCGTATCAGGGTCAGTAAGTGTATGTAGGCAGGAGCGGCGCTATCGGTAATGGCTGCGTACAATGGTATAATCAAATATCGTGAAGCACCAGGGAGGCGAGCGGGGGCTCGGGGGTCGTGCGGGGCCGGGCGCGGGGGGCGCGGGGGCCCGGCCCCGGCTCGCGGCCCTGGTGTGTATCGGCTGCGGCAAAGCGAAGCGAGAATCCGGCGAACGAGTAAAATATAACTGCGGGGAGGGGGCAGCCCCGGCCCCGGGGCGGCGGGGACCCCCAAAAGGCGGGCGGGGCAGCCGGCGGCGCGGAGGCACTGCGGCGGGATTTTTGGTTTGGGTCAGAGGCGCGGTCCGGCCGGCTGCCGCCTCGGCGCCTTTTTGGGGCGGTTTCTGTCCTTTTGCCGCTCTTTGCCCAGGGGCAGGGGCAGGGGTGGGATTTCCCCCAGCCCCGGCTCCACCTCCCGCCTGCCAGCGGGGCACGCGGGTACCCAGAGCGGCACCCATGGACCGGGGCACCCTGGGCATCGCCTGGGCACCCGGGGGGGCATTGGCGGGTACTGCTCGAGGCACCCTGCGGGACACCCAGAGGAGCACCCGTGGGCATCACCTGGGGTGCCAGGGGACACCCAGAGGGGCATCATCTCCAACACCCGTGGGACCCCATGGGCAGCAGGTGGGGCACCCCCGGGTATCACCTGGAGCACCCACAGTGATACCACAGGGCACCCAGAGGGTCTCTCCCGGGGCACCCATCACCGCGGGCACCCATCCCAGCCGGTGGCGGGATACCCGGGGGGGGCAGAAAGCAGCAAATTCCAAACTCCGAGTACAAAAAAAACCAACCAAAACAAAACAAAACCAGAACCAAACAAAAACCAAAATTAAAAAAAAAAGAAAAAGAAAAAGAAGAAAAAGCCCAAACGCCACCAAACAAGACATATATATATATATATATATATACATATATATATACATATATATATATATATATATATATATGAGATTTTATATATTCCTTTGCGATTTGAAGTACCTTAACTGTGTGAGGGCCCGCGCCCCCCCCCGGCCCTGCAGCCCCATATATATATATGTGGAGATATATATATATATATATATATATATATATATGTACAGGTTATTTGTTTTATTTATAGGTCACAAGGACTATTTTTAATTAATTTTTTAAGCCGACGAGCCCGACTAAAAACCCTCTAGGAGAGACTGTAGTGCATGAAACCCCCGCGGTGATTGTCGAGCGGAGCCCCCTCGTATCCCCATCCTGCGGGGGACCCCCCAGAGCTTCCCCGGGGATGGGCTGTTCACCCCGCCTTTCGCTCACCCCGACCGTGGCCATCGAGGCCGCCAGAAGATAATAAAAAAAAAAGAAGGGAGAATGATTAAAAAAATAGAACTAATAGAAATGAGTGGTGTCCCCCTCCCCCGCGGGGGTGTTGCATATTCCCTTTGGGCAGAGGCGGGGGCGCGGCCCGGGGGTGTCGGGGGAGCAGTGCAAAGACCCCGGGGCACGGGGGGTCCCCGGCCCCGCAAGGGAAGCCCCCGGCACGCCCCCCCAGTGCCGCCCGACGGGCGGGGGGCGTCGAGTTGATTCTTTTTTGCCTTTTTAAATTTGGTTTAAGGTGCTTTTCTTGCCGAGGGCGGGTTTTGGGGGGCTGCGGCCGCAGCCCGGCCGGACTTGCAGCCGGCCCGGGGGGAGGCAGCAAAGAGGGGCAGGGGACGGCCCCGGCGGGGTCCCCGCGGGGACAGGGGGCTCCGGGGCTTGCTCGGGGCGAGGGGGCCCAGGCCCGAGGGGCGCCAGCGCCCCTCGCCTCCCCGGGGTGCCCGAAAGGGCTGCCCCGGTGCCCCCCGCTCCCTCCCTCCGCTGTCACTGTCACCGTTTAAAAATCCTTTTTTTTTTTTTTTTTCCCGCCCCCACTCCCTCCTTGCATTGTCCTTGCAGAAATCAATACTGCACCTTGCATAAAGAAGCGTCTCCCAAGGCTCCCCCGAGGGTCTGGGACCCTCAAACCAGCCTCAACTGCGGGCGAAACCCGGCGGGACGCGACCACCCCGTCACCCCCCACTAATACTTTTGGACACCAAAAAAAAAAAAAGAAAAAAAAAAAAACCACCAAAACCAAAACAAACAAACAAACAAACAAAAATTAAAAACTGTTGACGACGACGTTTCTTCATGCCCGAGCAGCAGCGATGCCCGTGCCACCCGCCCACCGCTGTCACAGCCCGCGTCAGTTCTCAGCCGCAGGGAGCTCGGGGGGTCTCCAGCCGCGGAACGCTGGGGTTTTAAGGCAAATTCAGGGTTTTTAGGGGGTGTCGGGCCCCTGCTCGGCAGCGGGCACAGCAGGGAGAGGCGGCAAGAAGGCACCTCCTGCCGCTCCCTGCCGCGCCAGGCGGAGCCGGGGCGAAGCCGGTGGGGTGCAGGCGGGGGGAGGCTGCGACCCCCCACACCAGCCCGGGGGCACAGCTACATTCACACGGTTCCATTCCTGTCACGAGAGCAGCCGGGCTCGGCCCTCCCGGCCCTGCGCCCCGCTGGACACCCATTAACGAGTGGGGGTCCCCGGGGGGAGCCTTGGGATCGGCCCTGCGGGCTGGAGCCCCGCTCGCCCCGCACGGAGCCCGGCACTCCCGGCCGGCCCCGCCGCGTCCCCCCGGCTCCTGCGCGGCCCCCGGCCCGGGGGGCCCTGCCGCCTCCCGCCCCGCTGCCTTTGGTTGCTGGAAGCGGAAAGAACAAATCAAAACCCCCCAAAAAGGGAAGGAAAACAAAGAAAAGAGAGGCAAAGCAAAGGGTGGCCGCCCCCCCGGCCGGCCCCCCCCGCAGCTATTGCATATTCCGGTGTGTTGGCGCAGAGGATGCATCGGTATTACCAACTGGAAGACGTTTCTGAGGGGGAAAATCGGTTAAAAAAGAAGAAGAATAGAGAGAAAAAGGGACTTTTCCGGCCGAGAAGAAGCCATGCAGGAGGCGAGGGGGGGGCAGCGGCCCCCGGCCCCCCCGGCCCCCCGGGAGCCCCGGGCATGCAGCGACTCCCTCGCACTGATATCGGGTCCAGTAATACTTAGGCTTCGAAGGCAAGGCACATCATGTGGTATAAAATTTCGTGCAAATTAGGAAAACATGGATTTTTTTTTTCTTGTGTGTTTTTTTTTACGGATTTTTTTTCTCTTTTATACAGATTTTTTTGTTGGTTTTTTTTCCTCTTTTTTTTTTTTTTCTCTTTGCTGAAGGGGAAGGTAGAGCCGGTTAATAAGAGTCTGCCATGCACAGCATCAGCCAGCCGCGGCTGGGTTGAGCCAGGTCACCAGATCCTGTTAAAGCACCATGCAGTTTATTTGTCTTTTTTTTTTTTTGTCTTTTTTTGTCTTTTTGTCTTTTTTTATGTGTTTCTTTTCTCAGATCTTTAAAAAAAAAACAGGTTTCCCTCTCCGCCAAGCGCTTTTTTTGTTGTTTTTTCTTTTCTTTTTTTTTTCTTTTTTTCGGTGGGTTTTCTCCTTTTCTTGTCCTTTTTTATTATTTTTCTGTCTCCCGGGATTTCCTGCGTCAGCCCTTTCCCCGGTGTCTCGCTGTGCCGTCCCGGGGGGTGGGAAGGGGGGGGATGCGATGCCGGTGGTCCTCGGGGCGGCTCTGGGTGGGGGCCAGGCGGGTGGCGACGGTGACATCCCACGGTGGCTTCTCTCCATCACCACCCCTCGGGTGTCCCCTGGGCCGAAGATCCTTTGGGGACCAGTCTCCTCATCTCGCTGGCGACCTTCGAGGCACCTTCGTCCTCTTCCTCCTCCTCGCCTCGGCCGTGGCGGGGGCTCCTCTGCTCTAAGGCACTGCCACGTCCCCGCGTCCCCTTCCCGGCCCCGCTGTCCCCGCACGGGACGGGGACTGCCAAGCGCTTCGTCCCGCGCTGCCCGGCCGGGGGCTCCTCCGGGGGCCGGGGCCCCTCCCCGCCGCAGTTCAGGCACTTGACGCGGGGCCGGGGGCTCCGGGGGGCTCCGGGGGACTCTGGGGACTCCGAGGGGCTCCAGGGGGCTGGCTCTGCCGTCGCTCGGGCTTCTTTGCTCCATCCTTTTGTATCCAAAAAAAAAAACAACCCAAAAAAAACCAAAAAAAAACCAAACCCAAAAAAACAAAACCACCAAACCCAAAAACCCCAAACCAGATGTCCCGGCAAGCCGGTGCCGGGGACTCCACCTCCTCCTCCTCTTCCTCCTTTTTTTGTGATTTTGTTTTCTTTTCTCTTCTTATTTTTCCTTTTTTTTTTGTTTTTTTTTTTGATGATTCCCTCTTAAAAGTGCATTTCCTACAAAATGTGCAACACGAGCGCACCCTGCCTCCCACCTGGTACCTGTCCACAGGAATGCATAGCTCAAACACACGGACGCACGCCCCCCTCGCCCGCAGCCCCGCGGACCCCCGGCCGCGAGGACATGCCGGGTGACACGGGGACACGGCTGGGGACACACGGGGCCCGGGCCGGTGCAGGCTCGGGGGAGGAAAGCGACCAGAGAGATGGAGACCGGTGCCTCGGCGCGACGGTGGCCACCGGGCTGCGACAGTCCCCGTGCCGTGTCCCCGACGCAATCGGGGTGCCACCGCCGCTGCGCCGCTCGGGGCCGAGGTGGGAGCGTCCCGGCACCGTGTCCGCGCGGGACCCGCGCTGCCACCGCCTCTGGCCGTGCCCGTGCACCCTCTGTGGTCACAAGCCCCCTCCTCCTGTGCCACCCGCTCGAAGCGCTGTGCCAGCGCACGGCCGTCACCGTGTCACTGCGGCACGGTGCCACCGGCCCCGGCGCGCTCGCACAGCGCGGGGCTGCGGCAGCGGGAGGGCTTCCCCACCCAGCCCCGGGAACCCCCGTCAGTCTGGGGCCGGGGGGGGCGGCGGGGAGGTTTTGATCTTTTTTACTCACATAGAGGCAAGAACGAGAGTCAAAGCCGTTTGCATATTCGGCGAGCGGCGGGCGGGGCTGGCGCCGCGGCCCCGCGGCCGCTCCGGGAGGCATCGCTGGCACCGCTTGGGTCAGGTCTCAGCGCGGCGCCGGCCGACGGGGTAAATAATAGTGTTTTTTCTTTCTTTTTTTTTTTTCTTTTTTTCTTTTTTTCCTGTTTTCTGGCGCATCGCCGGGGTGGGGGGAAAGGTCCTCCTGGGATGGGTTGTTGGTTTGTTTGTTTTTCGTTTGTGGGGTTTTTTTCTTTTTTTCCATTTTAAAACAGTTTGACCCTTTTCCTTCTTCCTTTCCCTTGCTCTTTCCTTCGGGTGTGGGTTTTGCTTGTCGTCGTCGTCGTCGTCGTCATGAGGCCGCGCTCTCCGTCGTCACCGCAAGGCTGGGCCTGGTGCTCGGGGACGGGGATGTTCCTCTGGGGGTGCCTAAAGCAGAGGAGAAGGGAGGCGAAGGGGCGGCACGGCGGCGGTTATCCCAGGTACCAGGACTGCCGGGAGAGAGGAGAGAGGCCGGCGTTAGTGCTCTGCCCCCGGAGCTGCCCCGTCCTCCCGCCGGTCCCCGGAGCCCGACACAGCTGTCCCCGCGCTGTCCCTGCGCTGTCCCCGCGCTGTCCCCGCGCTGTCCCTGCGCTGTCCCCGCGCTGTCCCCGCGCTGTCCCCGCTCGGCGCAGGGGGCTGCTGTCCCCACTCCTGCGCTGAGTTTGCCCGTCCTCCGCACCACGGCCACCCGCGCTCCCCTGGGGCCGGTCCCTCTGCACCCTCACGGCAAAGGACGGCTGTCCCCCGTGCCGCCTGGGGACAGGTAGGGGGGGCACGGCCGGGGACCCCGCGAGGTGGCCCCCTGCCACCCTCCCATTGTTTCCCCCCAGCCCCAAGTTCAAGTTCATTCCCGATTACCTCATGTCTGGTTTCCGTTGGAAACGAGACAGCTCGGGGCCGCTGCTTCCCTTAACCCTTCCAGGCCCCGCCACACATGACCAGAGCGTGGCAGGTCTCAGCTGCCCCTTCTGGGACACCGCCTACTTCCCCCGTGCCTCAGTTTCCCCAGGCAGAGCATCCTCGAGCCCTGGAGAGCCTCCCTGAGCATGGCTAGGGACACCCATTCACAGGGACCCTGGGAGTCCTGGGACTGCAAGTGGCTCTGACCCCTATCTCTGGACAGGGACTCTGGCCCCCTGCTCCTCCAGGGTTCTCCTGGTGCTGCCCAGGTCTCCTCTTTAGGGAGCCAAGGCCCTTGGGGTGCTGCCCACCCCATGTGCAGGATGGGGAAACTGAGGCAGGGTGGGGGTTGTGATCAGAGCCGGGTCCCCCGTGTTTTTCCTCTGGAACGGCACAGCACCCTCGGGTGTCCCAGCTCATGGTTCCCAAATCTCACAGCCTGGCATAGCACAGCACCCCCAGGTACCCTGTGTCACTGCTCACGGCCCCCAAGGCCACACCCCAGCACAGCACAGCACCTTGAGGACTCCCCTCAGCCAGGGCAGCACCCCAGGGTGCCCCAACATGGCACCATCCACACCCCATCCCTCTGTCCTGTCACCTGTGCCACCTGCCAGGCAGGACTGCAGCTGAGGCCAGACCACTCATGCCACGAGTGAGGCCAGAAGCTGCCACCCCTGTCCTGGCACCGTGGTACTGCCTGTAGCACCAGCGCCAGCTCCAGAATCCAGGACTAATGGAAAGCCCCTGGAAAGGCACACACGATGTCCCACTGCAGCTGGAGTGGCCATGGGCACAGCCGAGCAAGAGCAGTGCCCGTGCCCACACAGAGAGGGACCCACGGCCCTGGAGCTGCTCCTTTGGGGATGTTCTGGGCACCCAGGCAGGGTGGTGCCAGGTGGTGCCAGGCAGGACACAGCCAGAGCACGGCAGTGACCTCTCTCTATGATGGAGGACTCGTGGTGGCCCTGAGCCACCACAGTGCCCAAAGCCCTGGCACCAGGTGCCCGTAGTGAGGATGTCACGGCAGCAATGCCCATGGGCCACGGCGGTGATGCCAAGGCAGTGATGCTTACAGCAGCAAAGCTGGCAGTGGCAGTGCCAGAGCCGCAGTGCCATAGTGGTGATGCCCATGGTGGCACTGCACATGGAAATAACCCCACAGTGGTGATGTACACAGCAGTGGTGCCCCAAGTGGCACTGCCCACAGCAGCAACACCCACGGCAGTGATGCCATGGCGGGGACGTCCACAACAGCAATGTCTGCAGTGGCCACGCCAGTGGTGGCAATGCCCACAGCGGTGATGCCACTGCTGTGGTGATACTCCCTGTGGCCTCAGACATGGTGGCAAGGCCACAGCAGCGATGGCCACAGAGGTTACATCCACAGCAGCAATGTCCCACAGCAGTGATGCCACAGTGGCGATACCCACGGTAGTGCCCCCAGCAGCAATGCCCACAGGAGCAATAAACATGGCAGCAATGCCACGGCGGTGGCAAGGCCCACGGCAGTGATGCCATGGTGGCAATGCCCTCAGCAGCGATGCCACGGCAGTGATGCCACGGCAGGGGCACCATGGCGGGGAGCCCACATCAGCAATGTCACATCAGCGACAGCCACAATGGCAATGCCAGCACCGGCCATGCCCACGGTAATGCCCACGGTGATGCCATGGCGAGGGTGCCCGGGGCGAGGGCAGGAGGGTCCCCCCAGCAGCATCCCCGCTCTCACCTGTGCCTGATAGATACTCCCAGGATCCCTTGGTCCTAATCCCACGAAGGAACGGTTCGCAGGGGGCGTGCCTGGTGCAGAGTAGGCTGGGGAACAAATGAGAGCTCATTAACGGGGCTGCGGGTGGCACTGCCATTGTCCCCCCAGGGGCCAGGCCCGGCCCTCTCCCTGGCACTGCTGGGACGGAGCTCCCTGGCACCCGGTGCTGGCAACCAGGAGACATCCCTGGCTGTGACCTGATGGCAGGTGAATGAGCCCAGGGGTGCTGCACCCAGGGGTGCTGTGCTCAGACGGTACCACCCCTGCTTCAGGGCGATGACTGAGGCTGGAGGGGCGAGGTGCCCCGGGGTGCAGGCGCAGATGGTGCCCCTGGCAGTGCCCGCACTGTGGCTCCCGGAGCTGAGCTGCCAAGGCAAGAACAATGGCAGCCACCAGTTCCACTTGGCCACGTCACCCTGCTGCCACCTCCATCCCTCAGCTGGGGATCCAGCAGTGGAACTTCCAGCCCTGCTGAGCTTCTGCGTTCAGCCCTGCTGGAAGCAGAGTGCTGCCAAGGGGAATAGGGGATTTGGAGCCAGTTGCACCCCTCGGGGACAGCCAGTGTCCTCCTAACACATCCTGCCCTGAGCCTGCAGGAACTTGTACTCTTCTGTCCCTCCCCAAGGCTGTGACCCCTTATCAGCCAGGCTATCCCATGCTGTCCGCCCCAGACTGTCCAGGCTTTGGCTTCTCCATGCCATGGGATCTCCACGCCTGCTGACCAGCTACTGGCAATCAGCCACGGCCCATTACCCAGGGACAATGGCTCGATCAGGCAGGGCTTGGCTCTGTGGAGGCATGGCAGACGCTTGCAGTACCAGGATGGGAACAGGAACAGGAACAACCCCCTCGCAGAGTGTGGCGATGGCACAGTATCCCACCACTGCAGCACACACCCCCGTGCCAGTCTGGGGCGACACCAGCTCCCCTCTGGCTATTGAGTCCAGCACCCAAAACCCTCCTGGCCAAGGCACTTATGGCCCCTGAGGTGGAGGGAGGGCAAAGAATTCATCAGCCACTGTGCTAACAAACTTCCAGGGCTCTGGGAGACCCGCACACAGTCCCTGCTCTGGTGTCACCTCACACCCCCAACAAGACCAGAATCCCCGGCGCCAGCATGAGCATGACAGCCTACACAACACACCAGGCACACTGTCCTTAGTCCCAGTGCCACCCGCGTGCCAGCTGCTCCCCATTCCCGGCAGCACGGCCACCACCATGGTGGGATAAACAGACACGGAGAGGCCATGGCCTCCCCCACAGCACTGCCCACAGCGAGGGTCTGGGCAGGACTTTGCTTTGGAGAGCCCTGCCATGGCTCCACTCACGCTCAGAGGGACAAGGGGCCCGAGCTGGTCCCCAGGACCAGCACACCTCGGTTCAGCGGCCGCAGCGGCCACCTGCCCAAACCCTGTCCGCTCCGACCTGCCTGAGACCCAGCAAACTCATGGCGTGCCAGCTGCCGCCCTCTCCCCGGCTGCGGGGAGGCCACCTCCGCCAACATCCCCCCAGCACCGGGACAGGGGGACACCCTGGGGGGCTGTGAGAGGAGGGGCCAGCCGGGCCGGGGAGCAGGGTGGGCGCGGCGGGTGCTTACTGGGTGATGTCGGCGAGGTCGTCCCTCCCTCGGAAGTTGTCGTGGTGGATTTGGTGTCAGGAGAGACGGCCAAGCGGGGCATGCCGGGGGGAGGTGGCGGCGCCAGCATCTGCGTGGGCAGGTAGTGGCTGGGCACTTTCACTTGACCACTTCCATTTAACTGGGGACAACACAGACAAAAAACAAACAGCACAAGCCATTAGGATGCACGCGCACACCAGCACGGCTGGGGAGCCCCGGGGACACCCTCGGCATAGGCACGGGGTGTCCCTCACTGCAGACATGAGTTTGGTGGGTCTCAGAGCAGCCCTGAACGGTCGGCGCTGGCAGCAGGCAGGAGATGACGGCGGGACAGGAGGGCTTGGGGGGCTCTGGAGGCCATGCTCCGTGGGGGCCATGACCCAGAGTGGCGCACACTGCAGCTGGGACCCCTCTCTACAGTGACAGGAGGGTCTCTGAAGCACTCCCTGGAGGGGTAGGGACACCCAGAGCCTCCAAAGGCTCCTGCACCAGTGCTCCATGCCCAGTCTGGCCATGGGCTGCTCCTGATCTGGCATTCATCAGCCCAGCACTGAGCCATGGCACAGGGGAACAGTGGCCATGCTCCTCACCGTGGCATCAGCCCCTGATGGTGATGGGAAACAGGCAAGTGGTGGGCAGAGGTCAAATGTGCTCCCCAAAAGCTCTGCATCTGGGGAGCACAGGACAGTATGAGAGCCGGAACACCCGCAGGCTCTGGCTTTGGATATGAAGGGTGCCCTTCATGGCGTGTGTAAGGTGCTGGTGATGTGGGGTGTGTTGTGTGTTGGGGGTCTGGGTGTATGGGGTGATGGTTTGGCTGCTGCACGCACTGGGTGCTGCATGTGCATGGTGCTGGTTACGGAGATTGGTGATGGGGGCATGGGGTGTGGGGTGATGACCGTGTGGAGTGTGTGGGGTCCCACATCTGTGGGATGCACTGGGTGCATGGGGATACAGGGCACTGTGGCAAGGGAAGGCCCACAGCAGCACAGTGTGGCTCTGTGCTGGGACACTGGGGACACGGGTACAGCTCCAGAGGAGCTGACGGATCACCCGTGGGCTCTGCAGGTGGATGGGGCACGTCAAGCCCATCACTCTCCTGGACACGCTGGCAGACAGTGACTCCAGGAGATGGTCACACACCCTTGGCAGACACCTTGCTCCCCCAACACCCCAACACCAGCTGACGGCTCAGCCCCAGCACCCCAACACCGGCAGTGCCCCGTGCTGGGACGGGGCACAGCACCTCCATCGCCGCAGACACGAGGTGCCAACACGGAGCAGGCGCAGCAGCGCTCCCGAACCAACGCACGGCACGGCTGCAGCTCAGCCCCAGAGGACATCCCGCCGGTGCCACCGACGACCCCGATCCCCCCCGTGCGGCGGCAGAGGTGACAGCGGCGGCGCCGGTCCAGGGGACTCTCCTCGGGCAGCCCGGCTGGCAGCAGCCCCCGGTGCCCACGGCCAAGGCTGCGTCCTTACCGGTCCGGGCTGCTGGTTGGACGGGTCGCAGGCCAGCGAGACGAGATCTTTGAGCGGGTCCTGCGGGTTGAGATGAGGCGGGTACCGGATGGCCGTGTGCGGGAAGTAGGTGGAGGCCGTCTGGGGAAGGATGGAAGTGGTGGGGAAATGCAGCGCAGACGATGGGTGCGGGCTTCGGGCGATACCTGCGGGTGACAGCAAAAGGGGACACACACCTGTGTCACTAGCTAGTGGCTGCCGCAGCCCCCTGACCCCTCAGCGCTCGCTCTGTGCCTCGGTTTCCCTGGCAGGACACTCACCACTGTGCACAGCGATGACGGGACGGTGGTGCTGCGTGAAGCTGCTCAGCCGGGGCGAGGAGTCCTGGGGTGATGGGCTGTTGAAGGGGGACTTGTCCATCTCTGTCTTCTTCACAGTGGGGGAGATGCCTGGGGAAAGCAGGGTGCAACGTCAGGACCTGCCATGGGACCCCAAATCCCATGGCTACTGCCATCTCAGTGCAGTGTTGGGGGAGCTCATTCTGGGGGCAGGGGCACCCTGGGGTCAGGGTGGGCATGGGGAGGGTGGTGCTGTGAGCATGTGTGTGTGCTGGCAGGAGGATGGGCACCTTTGGGGGCACACTGTGTGCACGAATGTGTGTGCATGTGTGTATGTACCAGCACAGCACCGTACCTGTGTGTGTACTGTGCATGTACACTCCTACAGGTGTGTGTATGCAGGTGCACACAGTTCTGTGCCTGTGTGTCTGACCCTGGTGGCAGAGTGGTGCCCTCACAGATGCCACTGTGGCTCTGCAGCCCCTACATGGCACCCATCTCCCCTGGTACATGGGGCTGGGGGCTATAGGAGCTCCTGGGGACGCAGAGAGATGCCAGCATGGGGGTGACCACCCCAGAGACTCCTGGCAGCAGTAGTGGCTGCCCAGGTCCCTGAGGCCACCCCAGGGCATGGGGCTGAGCAGGGGGGCTGGCAGGCACATTAATCCCCTGCCGCCGTGGCTTTAGCTCTGGCCATTTGGCCCGGGCCTGGTAATGGGTTTAGCCCTTTCTCAGTCGGGCGTTAGGAGGATTTCCCAGAACATCCTGTACAGGATTGCCAAGCCCCCCTCCCCCCGCCAAGGCTGCTGAGCCCCCCCGCCAGCCACCCTCACCCCTGCCCGGGTCAGGCCACTGGCAGGGGACAGATGCCCTGGCACAGCTCCCTCCTGCCTCCATGCACCATTTTGGGGAGGGGGCTGCACCTTCCCCAAGACCCCCCCTGCACCAGCCCCACGGGGCAGGAGGGGGTACAGTCCCTGCACACACGGGACACACTTTGGGGGCTGGATCTGCATCCCCCAAACCTCCTTCCAACAGGATTGGTGCCTCCAGCCCCCCAGCCGGGCACCCCAGGCTCTGGCAGGGCTAGGGGGCTGGTGTGGAGCCCACCCTGCTGCTGGGGGAGGCAGGAGAAGAGACAAGGGAGGAGGAAGAGGAGCAGCTTCTTTGCCTGCACCTCGGGGTGTGGGAGCTGCTGTGCCAGCCCTGCAGCATCGCTTTAATTAGCCCAGCCCCCCCTTTCTTAATGAACAGCTAATTGGGGCTTGTCTAGACAGGAAAGGGAAAAAAACCACCAAGCCAGAAAGCTGTCCACAGTGATGTGGGGCTGGGGGAGCTGACTTGGAGCTGGGAGAGGCTGGCGTGGGGCTGCCAGACCAGGCATGGGGCTGGAGGCTGGGTTGGCCCTACAGAGAGAACCCGTGTTGAGGTGGTGGTCCCTGTAGCAACACCACAGTCCCCACAGAGCCCTGCCCAAAGTGGGAGGCCACAGACACACCTGGGCACCTATGGAAAGCCTGTGCCTACATCAGGGGGGTTTGACAGCAACCCCACAGACCCCATGGAAAAGCAGCAGGAATGTTCTGGGGGACTTGAGGGTGGCACCACAGCCCCCATGGCCAGCGTGTCCTGACCTTAAGGCCCACAGGGACAGTGGGGCATGGACAGTGCCCAGATGGCCACATGGGGTGGTCGTGGTTTGCAGAATTCTGGGAGCAGGACGGGGGCCCCAGGGCACTGGTGAGGAGGTGGCACCTACCCCCTTCCATGTCTTCTGTCCAGTTGCGGCTGCTGCTGGTGGGGGAGTTGGAGGAGGTGTAGTACTCGCCCCCAGGGCTGGTGTCAATGTCATCCTCCATGGACCCCGACTTGTGCCGTTTGCTCCTGGGGACAGGAAAGGGTCACAGAATCATGGGATGGTTTGGGTTGGAAAGGACCTTAAAGCTCATCCCATTCCACCCCTGCCATGCACCTCCCACTGTCCCAGGCTGCTCCAAGCCGTGGCCAGTCTGGTCTGGGACACTGCCAGGATCCAGGGGCAGCCACAGCTGCTCTGGGCACCCTGGGCCAGGGCCTGCCCACCCTCCCAGGGAAGTGAACCCACCTAGCCCTGCCCTCTGGCAGTGGGAAGCCATTCCCCCTTGTCCTGGCACTCCGTCTCTTGTCCAAGCTTCCTCCCCAGCTCTCTTGGAGCCCCTTTAAGCATTAAAGAGGCTCTGAGCTCTCCCTGGAGTTCTCCAGGCTGAACAGCCCCAGCTCTCCCAGCTTGTCAGGGGTCAGTGCCAGCCCGTGGCAGGACCTGGCTGCCCCTTGCCTTCCCCACGGCCGTGCTCGGGCTGGCCCCAGCACCACCCTGGCACAGCTCCAGTGGCACCTACCCGCTGGAGGAGGTGCTGGGCAGTGTCCTCCTCATGCCGGTGCTGGAGGGGTTCAGGTCATAGGCCAGGTGGCCCTGCAGCTCCCCCAGGGAGAAGTTTGGCCCTGTGCCCGTCACCACCGGTGCTGCAGGGAGAGAGGGGGGTCACTGGGGCTCGGTGGGGAGGGGAGTCCCAACCCACTGTGGGGTGGGGGGGCTGTTGGGACACTGCTGTGCCCAGGCAGCTGAGGGTTGGGCTGTGGCATCACAGTCACACTCACTTCGGGACACCTGGATGAGCTCGGTGACACTGAACACCCCCGAGGTGACGAAGCTTTCCTGGAAGTCTGTCGAATCTGTGTGGGAGACAGGAGGGTGTGCTGAGGGGGCAACAGGACCACCCCTCCCATCCTGCACTGCCTGTGGCGATGCTTGAGAGCACCCCAAACCCCATCTGTCCCCCTCCTTAGCCTCCACTCCACTGCCTGCTCCAGCAAGACACCACCCCAATTGATTCTCTCTGCTGAAGATGCCCTGGACCTGCTCAGTGCCTCAGTTTTCCTGTGGCTGAGAGTGCTGGCAGGGCTTGAGGCTTCACCCTCACCATGGGACCTCCATGGCAGCTGCTGCTCCCAAGGGCTGTGGTCTACGTGAGACTCTGCTGGCTGTAGGACAAGGCTAAGGCTGTGCCCAGCTCATTGCAGGGGCCAGGCAGTGGCTGGCAGCATGCCTTTATGTCATGGGTCCCCCCTCCTCTGCCATGACAGGGACCCTGGGGACAGTCTGGGGTGTCCCTTGTCCTTTGCCCAAGCCCTGCCCTCTGCACTCACCCAGCGTGATGGGTTTGCTGTCCTCCTGGTCCGAGCCAATGCCTGTCCGGGGGCTGCTGCTCTGCTCTGCATCTGCAAGAGGCAAAGCCCAGGGTGAGCCCCTGTGCCAGTGGCAGCCTCTGTGCCAGTGTGAGCCAGGGTTGCCACCAGCTGACTGCCCCCGCATTGCCCTGTGGGGGGAAACTGAGGCATAGGCTGCCCAGCAGCTCTCACCACACAGCAGGGCCACCACCAAGCTGGCATGTCCCCAGCCACTGAGGAACAGTCACCAACCAGCCCTGCCAGCGACAGGAGCAGGGACAGCGCCACACGCAGGACCCTGGCACTGCTCCCCGCAGGAGGGGAGCCCCAGGGCAGGGCTGGGTGATGGCCACCTGGCCCTGCTCCTGCCTCCTCTCCTCTCTCCAGCCACAGCCGTGACCCAGTGCTGCCCCACCAGGCAGTGTCACCACAGCATGGCACAACCTGTGGCACCCTGTCCCACCTCTGCTCAGCTCCTGCAGGGCAGCAGGGCTTGGGACAGCACCTGCTCTGACTCCTGGAGCCCTGTCCAGCCCTGCTCCCTCTTGGCTAAAAATATCCTGGCTCAGACGCTGAGCTCAGCAGCCCTGGCACAGCCTGGCACAGCCCTGATCCTGCAGTCAGGAGCATCCTTCATCACCTGGCTGCTCCCAAAGCCCCTCCATAACTTCTGCCATGTATTTCTCCCCCATACTCCTTCATCCTCCTGTTTCTCCATACTCCTCCTCCTCCTCCCACCCCCCGGCCTCCGGCATTTCTCTCTGGCAGCCTTGGCAGATGTCAGGAAAGGGCTGAGACAATCCAAAAACACCAAAAAAACCACGCAGCTGCAACTGCCAGCCCATGTGCCCGCCTTGGGATTTTTCCCTTTCTCCCTGTCTTTCTCCTCCTTTTTCTTCCCTCAAGTCCCTTGCACTCACATGTGGCTCCCAGACTGGTTATCCTTGGCTGGGCAAGTTATCCATGTGGGCTCCATGACACCCCTGCGTGCTGCCCACCAGGCAGGCTGTCCATGGGGACAGTGGGACTGTGCCACCTCCCAGCCCGACACCCCCGTGTGCCCACATCCCCCAGGGACTGCTCAAGGCCGATGCCAAATCAGCCATTTTGTCTCCCTGCCCAGCTGCTGCCATCCCCTCCACGCATCCCGTGCCAGCCTGGCACCACGCTGGCAGCACCACGGCATCCTGCCCTGATGCTGCTCACCGCCAGCAGACCCCCCCGTGCCCGCACCCCAGGCTCCCTCCAGGCAGCCATTTTAGGGAGCAGAAACTCCCCCTGGAGACGGGCGCAGAGTTTTTTCCTTCCCTTCTCTCCATTTCTCTTTTTCTAGCTCTATTCCCCCATTTTGAAGCGGCTGCGTGCCCAAGCACTGCGGTGTGGGTGGTGGGAGCGAGCGGGGCACGAAGCAGCGGGGATGGGGGAGTGGCTGGGGACCCCCCCGCACACCCACGGGCACCGCGTGGCCGGACACGGCCCCTCCTCGCCTCTAAAAACAACAAATCTGGCGGCGGCTCTGGAAGTGGTTAGCGTGGAGCCCGGCCAAGGCGCGGGACGGAGGCTGGCGGTCAGAGCCTGAGGCCGGCCCGGCTCCCCACAGCCCCCACCGTGGCCTCAGGGCTCCCTGGGACCCCCCTGCCCAGCCCTGCGCTGCTCGGCCTCGGGGTAGCTCCCAGGCCGTGCCCTCGCCTGGTGCCTCCGAGGTGCCCACACACCTTTGACTCAGCCCAGGGACCTGCACCGCTCGTCCTGAGGTGCCCACATGGATCTTTGCCCACAGCAAACCACCCCAGCCTGGTCCCCGTTCCCCCAGGGCACTCGGGAGGGCCATCACTCGCCCTGGGTGGGCCCCACGTCCCTGTACCTCCAAACCATCCCACAGCACCACCCTGACCCGGCAGCGCCAGTGCCCCCTCACCGACCCCTGCTGCTGAGGGACGCCTTGGGGACCCCAGCCCGGGCACTCCGCTCCCACCCGCAGCAGCCCGAGCAGAGCCGGGACTTTCCCGAGCTCGGAGATTTGGCAGCAGCGCGGCCCCTCCCTGCCCCCTCGTGTCCGGCCTGAGGGAGGCGGTGGGTGCGAGGCCGGGGCCGGGGCCGGGGCCCGGCACCCCCGAAGCTCCCGTGGCTGGGCGGGTGAGCTCGCCAGCAGATTTTTGGCTGCCTCCTCGGCGCGGGGCGGCCGGGCCAAGCGCTGCTCTCACCGCCATGTGACGGCCGCCTGCGCCGGCTGGCGCGCTAAAATGGCGAAGGGAGCCCCGGGCTCACGGGCCGCGCTCCACACAAAGGGTGTTCGCGGGAGACTCCCAACCCAGGACCCAACAAGTGGCTCGACTGCACCAGAGAGGAGAAAGAAGCCTGTAAAGCTCCCCCATGCCCCCACTGCTGAGTTGATCCTGGACCCTCCACCCCTCCGGGAGGCCAGGATGGGGGATGGAGGTGGGGGTGGTCCTGCTGCCAAACCGTGGGGAGCTCAAGGGGGAAGGGGTTCAGTGCGGGGTCGTCTCCGGCGAGGCAGAGGAGAGTGCTCAGTGCCCAAACAGGTCGATCCAATCTCTTTTAAAAATAGCCAAGTGTGTGCCCGGGGGGGCGCGGGCTGCCTGGGCTCCGGGCCGCGCTGGCAGCCTGGCCCCGTGCCACCCATTGAATTACGGCTCCCGCACCCCGGCCCCGCTGGCTGGCACGGTGCCGCCGGGCCCCAAGCGACACCCGCCCGCGGTCCCAGCGCGTGGGAACGACCCCCGGGCAGCAGGGCCGGCCCTGGGGGGTGTCACTGCAGGCCGGGTGCCCCCCGGGGCTGGCGCAGCTGCGGGAGAGCCCTGGCTCGGTGCCCGAGCCTGACGGTAACAGGGCACGGTGTTACCGGCAGCGGCGCGGGCGCAGGCGCAGAGGCTGGAGGATGCCGGGGGCTGGGGGAGCTGCTGGCGCCGGTGTGAGCAGTCCCAGCCCCACATCGAGGGCAGCAGCCTTCCCCCTTTTCCCCAGCTCTGCCAGCCGAGGACAGGGGATGGGAGAGGGTTCAGCACTGCTACCTGCAGGCTTCTGCCCCGTGCCTCAGTTTCCCTTGGGGGCTGGCTGGGGGGGGGGGGGGGGAACTGCCCCCCTGCCTCATGTTCCGTGGCCCCACAGCGCGAGCACCTCCTCAGGTGTCACTGCACTCCTCCGGCTGGCCACGGCAACAGCGCGGATCAGTAGGGCCCGGACTGAGCAGCCTGCTCAGGGTGGAAGACCTCTGGAAACCAGAGGGAGCCAACGTGCCGTGGGGCAGATCCCGCTGCAATGGCTGCGGCGAGCGAGGCTGCGTGAGGGTGTGATTTAGGGGCTCTGCACTGTCAGACCCCCAGAACTCCTCATCCCAGTCTCACAGTGACCCCAGGTCCGAGCGGCGCTACCCGTTCCGCTGCCCGTCCCACTGTCCATCCCTCTGCCGCCAGAGCGGGGTGGCCCTTACATAAACCCGGAACAGTCCTGCTTGTGTAACCTCCTTTATATAATACCCTGAACCGCCGCGTGTGCCGGGTAAATCCTGGCTGAGCCGGGCCGGCCGGCGCGCCGGGGCGCGGGACCCCCCTCCGCCGTGCCCGGAGCGCTGCGGGGCCGCGGGGCGAGGCGGCTCTGCTGGGCCTCGGCCACCAGCGCTGCGGGGGCGGCAGCTCCTCCTCCCCCTGCCGAGCGGAGCCCCGGGGAGGTCCTGGCCGGAGGCATCCCCCGAGGTGGCGGGGCGGTGGCGGGGGGGACGGACGCGCCCCGCTGCCACGTACGCCGGCCGCGGCCAGCTGGCCCGGGCGGGAGCCTGGGAGGCGCGAGCACGTTGGCCGGCGCTGCGAGCGAGCGGCGCTGCGAGCGAGCGGGTTTGTCCTCGGCCGACCCCGGCCGGCACGGGGAGATGGCAGCGGCCGGGGGGAACCCCCCCAGGAGGGCGGCGCGGCCGCCCCCTCGCTCAGCCCTGCCAGGCCTGGGCTCCATCCAGGGCTGCCAGCGTCCGCGGAGGCGAGCGGGGACAGATGGCAGCGGGGAAAGGGATGGGGAGAGCGGGACAGACAAAGGGAAGGCTGAGCCCCCCCTTCCCCGGGACTCTCCCCTGCGGGGTGCTGGCATCCAGCCCCTGCGCACTGGGCTGGGGGTGCCTGGGGGCGCAGTGCAGGGAGGGAGTGGAGAGAGGAGAGACGGATGGGAGAGGGAAAGGAGAGAAAGGAAGGGAGGGAGGGAGAAAGGAAGGAAGAAATTAAGGTGGAGAGAAAGGGAAAGGGACAGGGAAAGGGAAATATGCTGCCACTATCTTGCTGCGCCAGCAATTCCAGCCCGTGGCAGAGCCCCACAACACAGCTAGTCTCCCCCCCGAGTCCAATGCACACCCACCATGGCCCCTCCGATGCTCCCCCAAAACCAGCCCCTGCACCGCCACTACGCAGGGCTGAGGCAGCAGTTTCAAGCCCTTCCCCAGGACTGGCCAAGACCCCAGTGCAGGGGCCAGTGTGACAGGGGACCGTCCCCATGCCCCAATTGGCAGTGCCAACCCTGGTCGGGGGTGTAGGGGCACACCGGGGGCTTGCCGGCGTCTGTTCCCCCCCTCCCGCGGCCACGGGCGGGAGGGAGCACCGTGGGCATCTGCCGCCCCAGCTGTCCCTTGCCAGCGCAGCACGGAACCGGGCACCCGGCCAGGATGGCAACTGCGGCCCCGGGGAGGGCACGGCGCTTGCCAGCGCGGGGGGACGGCGGGTGGCGAGGGCGGGGGACGGCAGGTGCTCGTGAGAGGAGCTCGCTCATCTTTTATTCATCGGGTGCCTAACGGTGCGCGGAACCGCTCTGGCCCCTTGTCCCCTCGGGCGGCGCAGGACGTGGCACCCCGTGCCAGGTCCCCGGCAGGCACGGCTCACGCTGCCGGGGCCGCCGGGCTGCGCAGGGCGCAGCTCGCTTCAGCGGTGACGCGAGGCCGGGGCTGGCAGCGGGCACTGCGGGGAAGCCGTCCGGCTCCGGCACGCCGCCGGCTCGGCGCACTGCGGGAGAGCCGGGGAAGCCCTGACCTCCCCAAGGTCGCCGGCACATCGATCCGGAGAGCTCGAGCACATGGAAACCGCCCCGGCCGTGCCAGCGCCAGGCTCGCAGCGGGGCCGGGCGCAGGAGCAGCGGCACCCCGGGCAGTGACGCTGCAGAGGACAGGGGTGGCGGGGGGGTGGCACCCTGGGCAGCCCCCTCCCATCCCGCCTCTGCAGCACGCAGCCGTGGGGGCAGGAACCCAGCCCCTGCGGATTCTCTGCTGTCTCGTACCCTTGTGCTCTTTCCCGGGGGGTCTCCTCCTGGGCTTGCTGGGCTCTGCCTACCCCGTTCCCCTCAACCCCGGCCTCCCTGGCTGTCTGGCCGGGAGCAGAGATACCGGCAACAAGGGGAGGGTTTGCTCGTGTTCATCTGAGTGCTGGGGGGTTCTCCAGCCTGCCTGCCCGCCGGTGCCCAGCTCTGCGAATGACAGATCCCAAATATTGTGAACCCCATCAATCTTCTCGTGACCCTGGCGATAAATATTTGCGCGGGGGCTGGCGGAGCGGCGGTGCCCGGGGAAACGCCTGCCCCTCCATCTGGAGGGGCTGAGCAGACGCTTGGCACGGCCGGCCTGGCACGGCCGCAGCGCGCCTGGGACGAGAGCCCTGGCACAGGCTCCCCGGCAGATTGGTGCCATCTGCCTCGCACCGCACCCAGCGGTGAGGCTGGTGGGGGGAGATAAGGGGCTGCCAGGCGGAGGGAGACGCAGATGCTGGCACAGCGCGGGGGTCCCTGCCTCCCCCCATGTGCTGTCCACTGGCGGCGGCATGGCCGGGGCTGCCAGGAGCTCGATGCCACCCTGGGGCCCACTGCCCGCTTGCCCTGGGCACCCATCTGCTCCCGCCCCGCTCGGCCCGGGGGCTCAGCCAAGGGGCACTGCCGGGAAAAGCTCACTGCAGGGCAGAGCCCGGACCCCCTGCCCTGCTGAGCATGCGGCTGGGGAGGGGGGCGCAGAGAACCTCAGTGGGTGTGAGGGGCCTGTTCTGCCTCTCCCCGGCTCGGGGAGCCTGGGTGGGAGCAGGGTGCGGTCCAAGGATGGGGGCTGCCAGCATGGGGATACAAGGATGCATAGATGGGGCTGCAGGGATGGAGGCACCATGTTGAGGGCTCAGCAAGGGAGCCCATGGAGGTGGGGAGCACTGGTGGGAGGTGCAGGGAGGGGGGCACTGTCCCCCGTCCCCCAACCCCCCCCCGTCCCTGTCCCCAGACTGGCTGCTGCCGACAGGAGCTGCTGGGAGGAATCTCTCCGTAATGCTCCGAAGGTCCTGGCACCAGCGGCTGGGGAGATTGATTACCATTTTACTGCAATGCTTTTGACTTTCACCAGCGACCTCCGAGCTCCCCCCAGCCCCCCGTGTTGTTTCCCCACCTGCCCAGCACCATCAGCCCTGCAGTGCCCGGCCCCCCCCGCCGCACACCCAGCTCTGGGCTGCAGCGCCGTCCCCTCCCCCACTGCGGTGTGCACAGCCCAGCCCTCACCCAGCCCCGCACTCATCCCGCACCCCTCCTGCATCCAGCCCTCATCCTGCATCCAGCCCTGCTCCCATCCCGCATCCAGCCCCGCACCCACCCTGATCCCATCCTGCCCCAAAGCTACCGGGGGTGCCGGTCGCAGGGCTGGGTGCAGGATGGGAGCAGGGCCGGTGCTGCTCCGGGGAGGACCCAGGCGCCCGGCACTCCCTGCACCCCACGGCCCCCCCCGGGGCCAGCAGGGCTGGGACGGGACCTCCCCGCAGCCCGGCACAGGTCCTGCCTCAGTTTGCCCACCCGGGGACACGGAAAGCCGAGGACAGGGGGAAGATCCGAGGCGCAGAGCTCGCCTTTGACATGGGCCCGGGGGGGGTTGTCTGGGCGCTCAGCCCCTGCCAAGGCTGCCCCAGAGCGCGGGTGGGGAGCGCAGGGCCGGGGGCTCCTCCATCCCCCCCATTCCCCGGCGTTGCCAGAGCAGCGGCTGGGAAATTGTGCTGACACCGGCAAAAGCGGGCGGCGGGGGCGGGGGAGCGCGGGCGCACGTGCTCGGGCTGATAACGGAGCTGCGGGGGCTGCGGGGAGCCCGGCCCGCCCGGCCGGGGGGGCCCTGCGCGGGACAGACCCTCCCAGCCCCCGCCCTTGAGGCTGGGGATGCTGCGGGCGGGCAAGTGAGAGGAGGCAGGAGAGGGCAGGAGCGGGCAGGCAGAGGGAGCAGGAAGGAGGGAGGAGGCAGAATCAGGCAGGAGGGGGCACGTAAGAACGGGCAGTGTGCCGGGCAGGAGCAGGTAGGAGGGAAGGAGGGCAGCATGTCGGGCAGGGAGAAGCTCACTGAGCCCACAAGGCTGTGGTGCAGTGATCCCCGGCACCCCTGGAGTGCTGTCACTAGCCTGGCCATGCCGTGCAGGGTGCCATCGATGTGGTGGCTTCTTCCCTGCCTCAGTTTCCCCACCAAGGTGGGAGGCTGGAGACCCCTCCCATCAGCCACAGCCTGACTGAACATGCCCACTGTGGGCTGGGGCCAGGCCATGCCGAGCACCCAGCACCCTGCAGCACCCCAGGGGTCTCACACTAATGCTCCTGGCCCATGCTGGTCCCCCTTAACCAGGGCCAGAGCGACCTTAACAGTGAAAGTGAGAGGCTGCCAGGCCTTATCAGAGAGTATTTACAGCCGCTGTGTTCCCAATTAGACAGTCAGGTGACTGCGGCTGCTGGGGACCCAGACACCGGGGTCAAGGTCGCCGGTGGAGGGGCGGGGGGTGGGAGAGGGGCAGCCACCTCCTGGGGACAGTGGCTGGACACGGCGTGGCCAGGGAGGCACACCAGGTGGCAATGGGGACCCCATTGCAGAGGCTGTGGGGGTTTTGGTCCCTGCCTTCAGCTTGGCCACTGTAGGGCTCCCAGTCCAGCATCAGGGTGCTCCCAGTCCAGGCTACTCCAGCCCAGTGTGACACTGCACCTCCAGCTGAGCCAGCACAGGGTGCCCCCAGCCCAGCCCAGTATGCAGCAACCCCATCCCAGTGAGTACAGGGTGCCCCCAATCACAGCGTGCAGCAGCCCAGTTCAGCCCAGCATGGCCACGTCTCAGCCCAGTACACGACACCCCACTCCCTGTCCGGGTGCACAGGACACCCCCAGCCTGCACCCTGCACCCCTGTTCCCAGCACAGCACCCACCCTTCCCAGTGCCCTGCTGGGTCCCTTGGTGCCACGGAGCGGGTGAGTCACGTGCGTGGGCACGGGTGCTGGCAGCACACGTGTTCACACACCAGGGGCACGGCTGGGCGGGCAGGTCCTGGCTCACACGCGTGTGCAACCAGGGATGTGCCCCACACCAGCCCAGCGTCCCACCTGGGCCCTGGGGCAGGGTCTGGCCCTGGCTATTCCCTGCTGGAGGCTGTGCCCCAAAGCCACCAGGGCCTGGTAGTCCTGCCAAGCCCTTCCCTGGGTAGTGGGGGAGGTCACATGCTTGCCCTGCCTCAGTTTCCCCAGTGACACCCAGCATATCCCACGGTTGGCTGGGCAGAGCGTGTGCCCACCACGACTGACAACACTGGTACCTGATTTGCTGGCACTGCTGGCACCAGTGGCCTCTGTGGTGTCACTGTCTGTCCCTAGGCTCTGGCCAGTCCAGGCAAAGAGCCACAGCCCCACGTTCCCCCTGCCGTGGTGCTGATGAGGGTGGGCTCACGGGGCCGGGGGACATCACCTCGTGCTGTGGACAGGGGCAGGAGGTGCTGCCAGGAGGGGACCAATATCCTGCCACCCTTCCTGCACACCTGGGTAGCCTGGCCTGGCCAGAGGTGGCCACGAGACCCTTGATTCCCCCTAGGGCTGCAAGTCACAGACCCTGCTGTCCTGCAACCGCCCAGCCCCTGGCCAGCATCTTCCCTGGCTCCTGCGGGTGCACCAACACGCCTGGGGGTGCTGGTGGATGGATGGCAGGGTGTGTGGGGGACCCCAGCTGCTGGCAGGGTGTCTGTGCTAGCATGACACCAGCCGGGGACAACAAACCTGCCCAGGTAAAATCCCTGCTTCTGAGCTTCCCCTTCCCAGCATGTGGGGAGGTGACGTGAGCTGGTGGAGAGGACAATGGTTTATGGACCCAAAGGGAGAGCTGCTGCCTACGCTGCACTCTGTGACTCAGTTTCCCCCTTTGACTGACGGCTTTGAGAGCAGGTTTGACCCTCCTTGCTGCAGTGAAAGCAGCCACTTCTCCCAGCAAGTCCGTGGCACCCTGAGGCAGGTGAAGGGCTGGGACCAGTATCCACAGCAGGAGCTGCCCCCACCAATGCTATTGCTATGCCCCCCCCAGCCGGCCTTGCTGCCCCGTCCCTGCTCTGGCATCAAAGGATTGGCACCATAATCCATGGCAAATGGGCACTGCTGGACCTCTTCCAGCTCCAGCCCTTGGGGGTGCACCAGGAACAGGCTGCTCCTTCCCTGCCCAGGCTGCCCACCCACTCCTCAGCCAGGCACAGGATGTGGGGTTAGCTCTGGGTTTAACCCCCAAAACTCCATGCTGGGAATGCCCAGAGACAGGAGCACCCTCAGGGACCTTTGTGTGCTCCTGGGCAGCTGGGATCAGCCCTGGCTGGGGGAGAGGGGCCAGGGTGGGGGGCACCCACCCACGAAGCAGTTTGGAGAGGGAGGCACTGCAAGGTCTGCCGTGGGAAAGGTGTTCAGGAGCAGTGTCCCCAGCTGGAGACGGGGATGGGACAGACGGGGAGGGAAAGCTAAAGCAAACCCCCGGAGCTGGCTGTGGCAGGGCACAGCCAGGCTCTGCCCTGCAGGCAGACGAGCACCCACCTCTCTCACGGACGAAATACGCCAGGTAGAGGTCGAGCTCCTTGACAGAGACGCTGATGTGGTGGGGCTGGACGCAGAGGATGGGGTTGGTGCACTGGCCCGACTTGACCAGGCGCTCGCCGTCGGTGCTCTCCAGCGGGATCCCTTTGAAGAGGATGACCATGACCAGGTCCAGCCGCCACACCTTGTCCGCCTGCCGCAGGCAGTCGATGCGGCGCATCTTGCCTTTCTGGTCGGGGTTGGACAGGACGCAGCACGAGGGCTTCTTGCCCGTGATGGAGAGCACGAAGTCCTCGCGGCACTCGGGCCGGATGTCCTTGCGCAGCTTGGCCAGGAGGCGCGAGGCCCATTTCTGCTTCACCTCCGGTTTCTCGCTCAGCAGCTCGTCCTTCACTGCCCTCTCCTCATCCTTCGTCATCCTCTTCTCATGCTTCTTGAAGTACTTGCGCTTGCGGGCCTGAAGGTTGAACCAGGTGTAGGCAAAGGCCCTGACGTGGGGGAGCAGCGCCTCAATGAAGGGGTGGAACTCATCCTGTGGGAGCAGAGGGACAGGGGGTCACTCCTGGCTGAGTCCCTCCAAGCTCCCTCCCGAAGTGGCTGTGGAGCCCTGGGGACCTGCCAGGCTCATTCCCACTGGGCTGCATTCCAGTGCAACCAGAAGAAAAAGCTGTGGCAGAGGCACATGCCCACCAGGGTTCGGATCCTCTCACCACCCAGCGAGGTTACCCCCATTCCAGCAGACCTCCATAAATCCCACCGGCTGCAATTTCCCCAGGCCAGCAACCTGCAGGTAGTGGCTGGGCAATACTGGAGCCCGTGCCACAAGGGGAGAGGCTCCTGCACAAGGCTGGCCACCTCAGCAGCACCTGGACCCTCTCCCCTTTGCAGGATCTGCATGCCAGGATCTGCTCCCACCAGGTGCAGAAATCCCACCTGAAATCCCAGCTGACGCTGCGCCCACCGGAGCCGCTGTGCAGGCGTCAGGCGCTGCCAGACCACAGCACCCCAGTGCCGGGTGCCCCACGCCTGCAGCATGCCGGGTGCTCCCACTCGAGCTGTGGGTGCCTTGGACCTCTCCACTCCCTCTGGACCAGTGAGAAACTCCCCCAGTTTGCCCCAGTTGCAGCCAGCTCGGCGGCTGGCGCCTGGCCCGGCACACAAGACGTGCTCTGACTGCCTTTTTCCATTTGGTGAGCGCTGCTGGATGAGTCCAGCCCCAAAAAGAAAACAAGGAAAATGCATCCCCAACTCTGGCCCCTCCTTCCCGCATCCCATTTTTTTTTCCAATTTGGAAAATCAGTGCTTCCTGGCTGGGGGCCCACAACCCCACCATGGGATGGAAAGGTGTTGGGAGCCTTCCTGGTGAGGAGCAGCACAGCTTGGAAGGCAGCAGGCAGAGGGTTGAACCTCCCTGTGTGTAGCCAGGGCAGCACCAATCTGCCCTCCAAGGACAGGATTTGGCCCTTGGGGTCCCTCATGACTGTGGGGAGGAGGAGGAGGAGGAAGGAGCTCAGCTGGATTCCTGCCAGGGCTGAGAGGGGGATGGCTGGTGACAACTGCCACTGCCATGCCACAGGGTCATGCCTGGGGAGAATGCCAAAGGCAAGTGCTGCTCTGAGGTGAGGAGGTGGCCACAGGCAGGAGCTGGGAAAGGACAGAGCTGTGGCTGTGGGATGGGGCGAGCACTCCAGATCTGGCCCCACTCATCCCAGAGCAGCGATGCCATTCCCTGGCTGAAGCAGCTGTGTCCCAGAGTAACCCTGCCTGGAGGGAACAATGTCCCCTGAAACAGGCTCCCGGCAAGCATCGGCCCCATACAGACCCTGCTACTCCCACTTGTTCTCAAGTCCAGCACAGATCCCGTTAACCCTAAATCTGCTCCCCCAGCACAAACCCTGACAACAGCAAGCGTGGGTCCTTGGGTGTCTGCTGAACTAGTGACCCCCTGAACCAGACTCTGCTGTGACCTGGCACAGACATCCCAGTGCAGACCCCACTGTCCCTGCACCCAGCACAGACACCAGTAACTGCCAAGCCCCAACCCCAGCACAGCCCCAGTAACCCCCCAAAGTCCCTGCACACACAGATCCTTCTTCATGGGAAAGACCCTGCCACCTCTGGGGGTCACCAGCTCCTCTCTGGACCCAGAGCTGTGGCTCCACAGGTGTCCCTGCCATGCCCAGCAAGGGACAGGGGACTCATTGTGCCCATAGGGACCCCAAATTTGCAGGCAAACCCATCCTAACCCTGGGACCCGTCCCTGCCCAGGGGACTCATCCTGCCAGAGGAACCCTTCTTTGCCTGGAGGACCCGACTGTGCCTGGGGAACCTGTCCCCACCGGCTGCTCCCGGGGACGCCACAGGGTCTGGTTCCCTCTTCCCTCCCCAGCAGCAGCCGCTAATTCAGTGCAGCTGGGCAAGGGCTGGGCATGTGTCTTAAATCAGGGAAGAAGGTCAAAGAAAAGTAAGACAGGAGCCGAAAAAAGCAGCAGTGAGTTCCAAAAACAATACTTGGCCGGGGCGGTGGGCGGCTGATCTTCCTTGGTGGCCGGTTATTCAGACGAGCTCGACAAATTGCTGCCATCCCCTGGCCTCGCCACCCTCCCCAGGCAGCCGGCGGCAGGGCTGGCCGCAGGGCCGGGGGGACACCGTGCCATTGTCCCCATCCCTGCTCTCCCGCTTGGGGAGTGCCACCCCGGGCACCGCTGCAGGGAAGCGTGGCAGGAACCCGGTTATCCGGGTTGGGGTGGGTGAGGCAGCACCCTCGGGCGCTGCTTGCACTCGCTGTGGGGGTCGGGGGCTGCTGGGTGCTCTCCCCCGCCACGGTGCCCTCCTCTGTGCCCTCCCTCGCCACGGTGCCGAGAATTCGCAGCTCTCACTTGGACCCACAACTGAGACCCTCCAAAAACCCGCTGCGTGCAGAAGTCCCCGCAGCCCTCGGAGCCCCCGAAGCCGCGGCAGCCCCCCCGCCTCGCCCGGGATTACGGCAGGCCGGGAGCTGCTCCCAAAGCCAATCAGCCCCTCGCCAACTTTCCCTCCCGCCCGGCTTAACCCGCGCAGCGATGCCGCGGTTAAGCGGCTTTAGCGGGGCAGGCGAGGGCGGCTGGGGGGCATCGGGACAAGCACACGGGAACGGCTGCTGCGGGGCTGAGGGACACGCCAAAGGACCCGGGGACCCTCCCCAGCCGTGCAGGCAGCGAGCCCCGCAGCCGGGCACACCATCCCGGCTGGCACCAGCCGGATCCACTCGGGAAGGCACAGGCAGGGATGCACTGTCTGTCTGTCCGTCCCAGCCCCAGATTCCCACCGGGTTCCCCCAGCCCAGCAGCCCGAGCGCCGGCAAAAGACTGGTTAAGTGTTTCTCCTGCTGTTTTTCCTTTGCGGGGCTGGGAAGCAGAGACGTGCTGCAATACCCCAGACGAGGCTGCTCCCGGGGCATTTCCGGATGGGAATCTGGCAGCAGAGCCTGCGCTTGGGCCTCATCCAACCCAGGCTTGTAAAGCCCTGCAACCCAGGCAGGAGCACGCCTGCGCCGGGTGCTGCCGGCCCCGCTCCGGGCCCCCCTGCACCCCCTTCCAGGGGCTGCTGGAGCGCTGGCTTTCCATGCCAGGTGCTGTGAGGGGAAACTGAGGCACGGGTCAAGTCCGGCTCTGTCTTGCGGCGGAGCGGGGAGAGGAAGGAGGGATACTCTGCGTGGAGCTGGGCATGCCACGGAGGATTAACTCCTCCGCAGCCCGGGGTTTGGCAGCGCCAAGGATTGGGAAGGGGCACAGCTGAGGCGCTGCCTCTTCCCGTGCTCCTGCTGCCGGCTCGGCAGCACTGGGGCTCCGCACTCCGGGGACAGGGGGGACGCTCCGTGCCACGCTGGGACACGGCACCTGGCACTGGCACCGGCCATGGGCTGGCCACCCTCCGAGCATCCTCCGCTCCAGCGCCTTGTCCAAACAGGTCGGGCTCAGTGAAACAGCCTGAATTTTCCAATGAAAAAAACCCGTTTCCTCAGGAAATTCCCGAGCAGTTTTCACGGGGGAGGCGCTGGGGTGAGGGGCGGAGGAGGAGGAGCGGGACGGGAGGGGTCAGACACCTCGGCAGTTGGTTTTGCTCTGCCACCAGCGCGGCCTCGGCTGCAGGGAGGAGCGGGATGCCATCCCCACCGCGGGACAGCCTCGCTGCACGGCAGCCCCGCAGGGAGCACACATCATGAAAGGATGCCCAGCCGCCCCTCCAGCAGCCGCACACCTCCGGACGCCGCCGGCTCCCACGGCCGCCTCCTGCCAGGTCCCGCGGCCCTGCGAGCCCGGGCAGGGGCTGGCAAGTCGGGCTCCGTGCCCCCACGGGAAGCCTTGGCGTGGTGGCAGGCGGGGATGCGACTACAGAGGTTCTGGTAATCCTGAAAATCCCGGTACCTTAAAAGGGCACAGCGGGGACTTGCTTTCTCCTCACCAGAGCCCACAGATGCCCTTGGCGTGGAGCGGAGCCTCCGGTAGCCGCTTATAACTGTTCGCCGAAGCGGCTCTGGGTAATGAGTTAACCTGGTAATGAGACCTGTTGCCGAGACAGATGCAAATGATTGGGAAGTGCTCATTAGAGGGGATGGAAGGAGGCACTTAGGCCCTGAAAGGCACCCAGCCCTTCCCGGGGCCGCCCTGCACCCTATTAGAGCCCATTTTGCAATAATTGCTCCAGAGGAGGAAATCTATTTGGATTCATCATAAAGTATTTATTAACAAGAGCTTATTCATAATTTTTGCTGCTCGCCGGTGTGGCGCGGCCGGGCGTCCCGGCCTGCTCTGCATCGGAACGCGTTTCCCCGGCCGGGAAGGAGCGCGGCAGCGCTGGGGCGGGGCAGCGAGGGGGCACGGGGGCAGCTGAGGCTCCCGGGGCAGCTACGAGCTGCGCGGGCCTTGCCTGTGCACACGCGGCCCCGCGACACAGCTGCCCGTGGGGCAGAACACTCTGTTACAGCCCGCGTTCCCCGAGCTCCTGGCTGACCCGGCCCCTCCCTTGCAAAAGCCCTCCTGCAGCCCACGCCGGGGCACGGAGCCTCGGCGCCCAGGGCATCTGGCTGGCACCACGGCACAGGTGAAGGCAGGACGCTGTGCAGCCTCCTCGCAGTTTCTCTCTCCAGGTCCTGCGGGTTTTTTTCCCCCCCAGAGCCAAGAGCATCCCCCAGCCAACACCCACGCACGGCTGCGGGCTGTGGGTGGGCTGGACTGCTCCCACTGCGGGTTCTGGTGGAAGGGTGAGCAGAAGTGGGGCAGAGAGGGGCTCCCACGCCTCACTGGCTGCCGTGATGCTCAGGATCAGCCCAGGAGAGAGGGGTGGGCTCGTACAGCCCCTGGAGCTCACCACGCACCCGGGACCACGGTGACCACGCGTCCCTCACTGAGCCGCCCTGGGGTCCCCACACCTGGCGCTGCCCAAAACCTCCTCTGAGCCACCCCGGGGCCGGGCCGGTGCCCACCTGCCCGCGCCTACGTGCCGGGGCGGGAGCGGTGCCGGCGCTCGCCCTCGCAGGTGCTGCGGCTGCGA